CAGGTCTGCAGGATTCCTTGGTGGGGCCTAAACCTGCTGAGCTGATGCCCATCCCCCTCCAAACCCAAACACTCACTCCTTCCAGACCCCAAAACGTTGTGTTTTGGAGTAGAACACCGCTCTTTCTTGTGCAGGACCCCCTGGGTGACCCTCTCCCCTCCCTCCCTGCCCTTCTCTCTCGCTCTCTTCTTCTATCTGGGAGCAGTGAGAGCACCATTGCTCAAGCTCCTATTGAAAAGAGAGCACATACAATGGGGTCTTTCTCAGTCCCTCTGTGTCTCCATTAAAGACCCTGGGAACACAGCACTGTCCACAGAGCCACTCTTAAAGGGCCAGTGGGACCCAGGTCTTCGCAACCTGAGTCCCATGCAGCACCTCCCATCATTTTTATTTTTTTCATGGGAAAAGGGGAAAGAAACAGGAATCCACGCAGCAAATCAATTATTCATGAAGGCTATGTGAACTCTGCAGGAACTCCACACCAGCACCACCTCTGTCCAAATACACACTATCACCTCAGACATCACACAGCACAACAAGCCCCCGTCCCTGTCTGACGGGACGGCAGAGTTTATTTAGACTACGGCTGAAGGATGCTTCAGTCTGTTATGGCTGAAACTGAACGCTCAAACAAATTCCCCGACATTGTGATGACATCATAATTGCAATAAACACAAATAGAATTTCCTATTGTGATGCATGTTTGTCTAACTGCTTTCATTGGAAACAAGACATTAATTTGGCTGTTTGACTATAGACATGTTTAGTTTATACTGTTAAGGGTTATGGAGGGCAGAAGTTTTTGGTAAACTATGAAGCCGGTTTATTTAATTGTAGGGTTAGGGGACATTCATTGGAAGGCAAAAGTTTTTGGAAAGTTATGAAATTGGTTGATTACATTTTCATTTGTTATTATACATACAAATCAATCAACTGACCCTAACTGTGATTTTAAATGTGTCAAACCAATACCAAAGCAGTGAATTTAGTTTAGGGTGTGTTTTGACACACCACACTTGTGTAAGAACTTGGAAGATGTCATCCAACATTATATTTAAGTACCTGAAACAATAAGTGGATTGACACAATTTGGCTAGTTGTTTAGGTCGCTTTTGTTAAGAAACAAATCACAGTTTAAGCTCCTCAAAAGTGAAGGTTTGCTGCTTTTGTTTTGAAATGTTTTAATACTTTTACTTAAGTACTATTCTCAATGCAGTACTTTTGTTTGTAATTCAGTATGTTTCAAATCAAAATCAAATCAAATCAAGGTTTATTTATAGAGCACATTTAAAAGCGATTTTTGGTCGGGCCAAAGTGCTGTACATGTAATAACTACAATCACATAAAAACACATTTCTATAATCACAATAAAAGACAATAAATTACAACAGATATTTAAAAAGAAAACACAGGGAAAAGTCAGGAGTCAGTGGTGCACAGTAACTAAGTACATTTACTCAAGTAGGCTACTGTACTTAAGTACAAATTTGAGGTACTTTACTTGAAAATGTCCTTTTGGTTCTACTCTACAACTCAAAGGGACATATTGTACTTTTTACTTCACTATATTTATGTTACAGCTTTAGTTAGTAGTTACTTTTTATATTCATTTATATCGTTTTTTACAGACATTTTAAAGGTCCCATGTCATGCTTTTCCGGTTATTACCCGTCCCCTTGTGTGTTATGAAGGTTTTTATGCATGTAAACGGTCTGCAGAGTCAAAACCCCTCAAAATACACCCTGTAGCGAGTAAAACTCTTAACACAGAAAATACCTCCCCAAAACGCCTCGTTGGAGATTTCTCATTTTCCATTGTTTACTTCCTGGGTATCACTACGTAGGGATACCCAGTAGCCACGCCCAGAGCTATGGCCACACCCTCTGCCAGCCTTTCACGTAACAAAGCTTCCCAAAACCTTTCAGGATTCATGCGTATGGCACTGAAGAACGATGCTGTTCCTACTTTGTTTGGACCAGCGGGAGATTCGGGTACACAACCTGTAAGTATTCATTGTTGTTTGTGTATTTATGATGTTTAAAACAAACAAGGTATCTACCACGACTGTTTAAATGGGTAAACGTTTTTCGGACTATTACGTTGAAATGCTCTCCGCAGACCCATGCTCACAGCGTTATAAACCTTTTTCTTACTCAATATCAAGCCACACTTATTGTTTTTACTTCGGCTGTGAGTGTTTGTGTGTGCTCAGGATGAGTTTAGCTTGTTCTAGCTTTATCGCCAAGCCTGTCTACTCCTCCAGCAGTGTGTGTGTCTGTGTGTGTGCGAGCATTGCTAACTGAGCTAACTAAGTTGCTAGCGTTTCCATATATCAACTCCAATGTTAGCAGATGGCCTTACATGTATCTCATAGCTGGAGAATGTCTGCAATCACACACAAAATACTCATAGACAGTATACTCCCGGGTGATTTACCGTACGGTCAGTACATTATAGTTGGCGTTCCTGGCGTGTATGCTACCGAGCTACCGTTCATAGCGTGTATGCTACATAGCTAAACAAGAAGGCTACCTAGAGCTAGACATGCTAGGGAAAACATTGTTTTCATGCTACAATGAATGACCGAACGTAGCAGACTACCCGTATAAGATTGCAATTGTAAACATGTTCTTGCTAGCCTAGACTAGCTGTTGTTCATAGTAGATTGGCATATTACACTGAACAACTAGCAAACGTAGGTTAGCATATTAGCTGGCAAGCTAACTGTGTTGATTAGATAGATAGATTAGATAGATACACACTCCTACCACAACTACTACTAACGAATCTAAAACAACTAAGTTTCTCTAATATTTTGTGATTTGCATTTGATTTCGTCCAGCCAGATCAGGAAACTCCTGGCGTATCTGGCGGACAACACACACACGGGATGACCCACTCTGATGCCTCGTCCTAAAAAGCCCCGGCAGCCGCTTACAAAGCTGCGATAGGCAAGATGCCGAAAACGCCTATAAGGGGAGGAATGGATGATATACAGTGTATATATGTATATTTACGCATGTTAATTTTGTACATTTCTAAAAATAAAGTTTGATGGAAATACTTAGTATCCTTTCTTCCCTGAATTATTTGCTCCTATAACATATCATTCATATATAGCAAACCATGATTTGATTTCTCATCAAACAGTCGTAGTTTATTACAGGTAAAAATAACTTACTCTTCTATAACAACAGTTGTAGGTACAGTTCGGTTAGTTAGTGTATAAAATATACGGCTGTACCGATGCCATTATAAGACTGATGTTCCGCTCAGAGCGAGTCGAAAAAAGCACTGTTAGACATGGGCGGAGCCTCTCTGGTGGTTGACTAAACAGAACAGAGTGGCCGAGCTGACCAATCGGAGCACACTGGGCTCACAGTGGGGGGCAAGAGCTCCAACGAGCCGTTTAGGACAGAGAGTGAATACTGGTGAATACACATACTTTACAGAGATGCTGTATGCGAAACCAATGTGAGTTTGGAAAATTGCACAGTATAAATCTATTTTAGTATACCTCAACAATGGAATTATGATCAGTGGAAATGGCCATGACATGGGACCTTTAAAATAAAAATGTTTGGACATAGATTAAACCATCCAACATTGTATTTAATTAAGTAAACCACAAACACAAGGTTTGACAAACAATATATTGTCAGCAATTGTACTAAAATGTTTAATACATTCTTTGTGTAAAAGTATTTCACAGTCCCAGCTTTTCAAATGCGAAAATATTCTGCTTTTCATTTTAAATATATATATTCTTTCTGCAATCACTACTTTTACTCCTAATACGTACAGTACATTTTCCTGACCGTGTTTAAATACTTTTGGCTTGGTACCATTCTTAAAGCAGTACTTTAACTTGTAATGGAGTATTTTTAAATTGAAGTATTAGTACTTTTACTTAAGTAAAGGATCAGAACATTTTTCCACCACTGACAAATATAAGAGGAGGCAAAATAAAGCATGCAGGTACAATTACTGTATCGCAATTAGCAATCTTTATTGCTGATATGTATATCTTTATTGTTTTTATTTGTATTTAATTTATTTAAAATTTATTTTTGTATTTTATGTATTTCTAATTCATGTGCAATGTCTTATCTTCTACATGCTGCTGTGACAAAATATTTTCCCAAATTGGGATCAATAAAGTATATCTTATCTTATCTCAGAAGATATCCAGAAATAGAACACAGCAAATACTGACAATGATCCATTTATTTAAAAAAAGTCCATGCAGGTAAATCTTCCATAGACAATGATGCCAGCTTAGTAACTCCCTGTGTCTCACAGCTTCACACGTAAACAGAGTCATTAATACTCATCTATTATGATGTTGATCTGTGCCACAGACTGACACTTCTACTTTGTTTCCAGCGGGAGAAGGGCTGATTTACGGAGCTATTTACAACCTCTTGGGGACCCGTGCGTAATTAAAAAGCGAATGGGGGATTGTGCGAGACAATCAGCATGCCGCAGGGTTTCTCACATCCTCTGAGAAAAGGAGGGAGACTCAGGAGGAGGAGGGAGGAGGAGGGTGGAAAGAACTTGAGTTGAGGAATTTGAATCCTGTCTGAAGGGGGAGAGAGGGAACAGAAAGAGCCAGGGGAATGTCTGAGGGAGTCTGAGGGAGCCGGTGGGGCAGAAGAGACTTTGGACGACACACTACAGGAAGGTTTAGAAAGTAATCCGTGTTGCTGGAAATAGAATTGGAAGTTAATAGGCTGCGTAAAACTTTGGTTTGGTTGTGCGCTTTCAAAGTTTGGTGCGCCTTTTTCGCCGTGCGCTTTTAAAGTTTGGTGGACTGTATTGGGATCAACCAAAACATCAGCTTAAGAGGAAAACAAACTTTTCAGCAGCTCGGAGATTTTTTACACTCCTTCAAACGGGAACTGAAATCTACGGGTTCACTTTGGTGTGTTTGCTGGATATTATATATAACTTTTTTTTCAGCGCACATCTCTGGATCTGTGCGCTACGGAGATGCGGTGATGGAGTCCGGTGGTGTTTCCAAGATGACTGCTCTTCTCATGCTTTTCAGAGGTGATCTCCTGTCAGGAAAAACCAAGAGTGGATCTAAGGGACTTTTCATCCTCAGCGTCCTTTTTTGTATTTCTGCTTGGAGACCAGTAACCGCTGGAGCCCTGACAGGTAAGATCATCCGCAGCCGCCTTTAATCCAATCCCACTAACACAACTGTTATTTGTCAGCTTTAGCGTGAGGGAAAACATCGTAATAGGCAATTAGTTCGGTCTGCCTTTCTGCTGCTTACTCATTAAACGCGTTTGCTTTGGGGTGGCAACCACAGCTGCAAGTGGGTTCAACATCTGGCCAACATGAAGGAATTCATTACACTCGTTAAGCCTCTAAAAACAAGGTGATGAAGGAAAACAAAGTAAGGGATTAGTTTTATTGGCTCAATCAGGGTGGTGTTCTGCTGATTCAGTGTAAAAAAAGAGTTTTGTTTTCCCTGCCTGACTGGCATCAAAAGCCACAGGGCAGAGGGGTCATGTGTTTGAGCTCAGGTGCAGCATGAACACTTCTGAATGTTTTCTCATTGGGTCCAAACCAGGTATCCAGAGAAGTTTTCCCACCAGTCTTGGCATTTCCGGAATACTGTGGAATCTTTGAGAGATGTATTCCAGGCAGGGAAAGAGCAAAGGCTAAAAATAAATCTTGCTGGGAAGCAAAGGAATCACAACACCAGATACTCAAGCATAGCAACATAAAGAGAAAAGTGATGTATTGTTCTATAGGAAGTGAAAACCAGTCGCTCCTGTTTAGACTTCTTTAACAAGCATCAGGATGGAACACAGTTTGCACTAACATTAAAGCACATATGAGTAACATTAAAAGTGATCAAATTAAACAAAGCACAAAAAGTCCTGCTAACGGAGGTTGTCATTTCTTTAATTTAAACTTCACAGGCAAGATAAAAAGCTAGGAATAAATAAATACAATTCTTGAAACCCAATGGTCAGTCGGATATTCACAGTTTGTAATGAATCTCAGATCCCCATGACATCCAGCCCGTTTAGACAGTAAGCAGAGGCATTCATGTAAACCGGAAACGATGACAGGTTATAAGTTAGACCCATACAAATTCTGTTTCACACCAAACAACTGTGGCTGTTAGGTAGCGTTGTCGTCTTTCAATCTTATTGTTGTGGGTTTAATCCCAGCTCCAGCTCCTGCAGTCAATCTGTAGTCGATGTATCCTTAGCTCAGTTCAAAATCTGGTTTCAGAACAAAACTCCTCATCTCTCCCTGGCAGGATTTGACATAAGATCATTTGCTACCACTATTTTCTCATTGTGTTGTTTGTTCAAACAGAGGCTGAAGTGTCATCTGTCTCTGGACTTAAAGACATTTCTCTGATGGCAGTACATGCAGAAAATAAAAATAAGTGTCCAGGTCCTCACATTTGTCACTAAAGGAATGTATCATATAATAAGACATGCCTTCTGATTAATCTAGACATTTGTATCTTTATGAACAATGATCCTCCTTAGCTTACTTGAGCAAATGGCACTGTATACATGAGGTGTGAATGGGTAAATGATGACTTGTAGAATGTAAAGGGTTTGAGGTGTCGTAAAGAATTGATAAAGTGCAATATAAATACAGCCCATGACCATTTACCATTACCAAACCCAAAAGAGTTTCCAAAGTAGAAACCAAGTTAAATTGCAGCAGTTTTGGAACATTCTGGATATGTGCCTTAAAAAACTATGAGTAGTCTTTGAATAAAAAAACAAAATGTTAACCGAAGCTAGGTCATTTAACATCAGTGTGGTCTGCATCCATCATTGGGAAGTCCTTCTATCAATCAACTTGGCTGTTATCCATCAGCAACTACAGCCAATGGGTGTAACATGGAGGGGCCCCCACCAGTTTGCTCATGTGTTTTGGTCATTATGGTCACGCTAGCTGTACTTCTGCCCTCTGCAGATGTATGAGCATAGGGGACAGAGATTACAAGGATAGGCTCGAACTGAGAACGTTTCCCGATGTCTCAGCTCCTATTTGGATGTCGGGATGGCTGTAGCCCAGGGGTGAGGGGATGGATGGGGGGGGGCAATGCTTTGGTTTGTGAGTCAGTGCCGGTCTGACTCAGACGAAAGCATCAAAATGATGGATGGGGTAAGGGGGCAAGAGTTGTAGGGGGGGGGGTGGTGGCACAATGTGTAGCGATGAATCCAAAGAATGGCATGAAAAGGAGGCGAAACGAGGAAAAGGGCAAAAGGCGCGGCGGTGAATGGCAAAGGGCTGAATTACGTAGGGTTAGAAAGCCAGGGAGATAAAGGAGGGAGTGAGGGGAGGATAAATGCTCGGACTGTTTCGGGTATTTTTGGTATGTGCACGTCCACTGACATTTAACATCTCCTACCAGAGAGTGCGAGTAGGAGGGAGTTCAGGGGGACAAAAGGCAGTAGAGGGAGTAGTTCAATGAATCACTGCAGACAGGCCACACACACACACACACACACACACACACACACACACACACACACACACACACACACACACACACACACACACACACACACACACACACACACAGTTTAACCACAGCCTGCTCTCTCCGCTACCTCTGCATTCTCATAAAAGCCTTTCGAGATTAAACTGAAAAACCGTTGACTTTAATTCAATGTTTTATGTCAACAAATGACACGTAACTGTGTTGGGTGAAAGCAACAATATTAAGTGTAAATACAAAATATGAGGTTCAACTTAATATTATTGCTTTCACCTAACCTAATACAGTTATGTTTCAGTTTTCTCAGTGTATCATGATATGAATGCCGCACTTAGGAGCGGAGACAGAAAGTAGGGCTTCTTTTGTTCAATATGTCACAGAAAAAAGAAAAAAAAAGTCAGGGCTGCGCCGAGTCTTGAAAGAGCTCAGTCAAGCTTAAAAATAAAGAGAGGAATGACTTTTAACGCCAAAGAGCAGAGAGACAGAGAGGGGGCCCGCTGAGTCTCTGCCTCACCGCCTGGGAGGCAGAGCGGGCCCCCTCATTTATTTCACACTCCCAGAACAAGCCTTTTCAATGCTGTGTGTGTGTGTGTGTGTGTGTGTGTGTGTGTGTGTGTGTGTGTGTGTGTGTGTGTGTGTGTGTGTGTGTGTGTGTGTGTGTGTGTGTGTGTGTGTGTGTGTGTGTGTGTGTGTGTGTGTGTGTGTGTGTGTGGTTCACATGCAAGAATCAAGGGCTAGTTCTACATATGAGAATGTGCCACCAAAGTGTGCTTTTTACATGACATGTGTGTGTTTTCTAGGGGCTGAATGATGTGTGTTTACATGTGTCTTGCAGTGGACTCCACAGGGGTCACAGTGGGGGGGTCAGGGGTTGAAGGTTGCCCATGAAACAGACTAGGTGGGCAGGTTGACAAGCTTGAGAACATCTTTACAGGCATCGCTCCGTGGAACCCGAGTGATTTATTTTTGTCCGTGAAACTCAAGAACGCAGGCCGAGTTTCCTCATTCTATTTCCTTGTCCATACTATCAAGACAAGGAGTAGTTAAGGAGAGTTTTGAAATGCTTTACGGTTGCGTAACATTTGTATCTGATGATGTAGAAGACATATTCCAGCAGGAGAGATCTATGTATGTGTCTGTGCCAAATTTGTGTTTGAATGCAAGGCTGTACGCTTTCTTTTATCTTTGACAAGCACTGCATGCCTCAGAAATACATCTCGATTGTGTTTCGTGTCATTTAGGATGACAGATTCATAGAAGCAGAATCAGGTTTATTATCAAGAAGGTTGACACATACAAGGAGTTGGCTTTGCTGTCTACATCAACGTTGTAAGAGAACTAAGGTTGTAAAACAGGAGAAAATAAAGGAACAATTATAAAAAATATTTTAAAATAAGTACAAAAGTAAGTTTAAAGTAAGTACAGGATATGCATTAATGTAGTGGCAGACCTGCAGGCTCGTCTCTGCTGACTGGTGTTTGTCCTGAGCTCTGTGCAGTCTGAGTAACAAGGAGCCTTTGTCCCGCTATCAGCTCTGTCCTGCTCAGGTCAGCCCCCCCCCCTCCCCCATCCCATCAGTGAGGGACACGAGATAACTCGGCTCAGTGTGCCGGTGTAGAAACTCACCTGTTGTTATGATTGCACTGCCGAGGCAGAGTCTAGCCAACATAGATTGACATTTATCAGACGTCAAGTGAAGATGATTAATTGAGAGGTCAACAGGAATTTAAGTTAGCAATTGTGTGTTTCATCCTATTCTATTTGACATATTCTATCTTATTTCTACCTGCACTCCTTATATTTTGTGTCATGTTGAGTATATTAAAAATTACATTGTTGGAAGAGCCTAAGACTTCAGATTTCCATTGGTAACACGACGCTGCTATTGTGCATTAAAGCCTATGAATTTGAAGTGTTAATGATGTTCCTCAAACCAAAGACTAGCTGCTTTGAGCCTCCCGAATGTCAAAATGTGCTGCTTTTCTGTGTTTTCTGTCACTATATTCTGAAGATCTTTGGATTGAGGATAAAACTACAGAGTTTGAATATGGCACCTTAAGCTAGGGGAAGTTGTGATCCCAGGGTCATTTCTATGTGAAGCACCATGACCCTTAGAAACCTTTAGAAAGACTAACAGGAATTCTAAAGTGAGGCATTGGTACGATATTGTAAATGTGCCAGGTCTTTAAGACGTTAACTAACCCCTAACCTGATTCCTCCTTCTCTCAATCAAAGATCTGGAATTTGAGCGGAGTCCCAATACTGTCATCTCGTCGCTGGGCAAGCCTGTTACCATGCAGTGCACCCTGAAGGGCACGGGGAGCGAGGAAGAGGACCCCCCAGATGTGCTCTGGCTGAGAGACGGGGTGCTGCTTCCGTACGCCGACACCAACCAGATCCAGGTCCACACCGGCAGCAACAGCTGGACCATCATGAGCACGCTCAGGTAGGCAGCGGTTCTTTCTGCTACACCGGCTAGTACTTTATTAGAGAGTATTGATGAGTGAGACAAAGGGATGACACTCGTAAAGGGACCTCAGGCTGGTTTCAATCCTCCGTCTCCTTCTGCTTTCCTCATCAGGCCATGAGATTCAAAGATAATGGTGCCTCTGTTGTGAGGCAGCCACACCTGGCCTAAAAATGTCAGTCATGCATCTGCTACGCTTGTATTTACTTTCTGTTCCTCGATCTTACCGTTTCAACAAGCTTAACCAGTACTGTTGCTGGATTATTTCACCACCATCCTGACACTATGGAGCACTTTTAAATCGAAAGAAATGATTAACCCCACGCAATAGCCTACGTGCCTTCATGTCTTTAATCCTGGTATGATTGGATGGCCAAATTTGCAAAGAAAGTAATCATGGTCTGTAGATGTTTCTGCTTCTATCACCCAGTATTCTTTTGTAACTTAATTTTTATTTTCAGGTTTTACAGGGAACAAAAACACAGACAGTATTGTAGCAAGTACATCAGATAAAAGTATACTTCGGGACAGTGGTAGATTTTGCATACAATACCTTGTATGCAACCCTTAAGCTTGAGGGAACAGATAACACAAATACACACAACAAAGACAGTTCAAAATAAAACTGAAAGAATAAAATAAATAAGAAACACGGCTATAACTAAGGGGTCACGAGGAGGCCATCACGAAGTACAATTGTAACAATCATTGTTTACTTAAACAAAAAAACATCACGTGCAAGACAGGTTATCACCTCTTTGAGTTAGGTATGTGTCCCATTTTTCCCAGAGGGCTTCACCTTTGTCTCTTTCTAGTCTTAGGCTGAAAGTCATGTGTTCCATACTGTGAATGTTTTTAATGATGGCTACCCATTGAGCGATGGTGGGAGGTTCCTGACAGAGCCATCGCCTTGTTATGGCCTTTTTACTTGCTGCCATTAAGATTTAAAAAAGATATTGGTCAATTGTTGGTAGCTCAGAGTCCATATTCCCCAAGTAAAAGGAAAGACGGGTGAAGTTTATATCATAACATAGAACTTCTCTGATGATACTATGGACACCTTCCCAGAAGGGTTTAAGAACCTGGCAGCCCCAGAATATGTGTGTATGCCCCGCCTCACAGTGGCCACATCCTCTCTAGCATGTGGGTTGTGATCCAGTCTGTCTGGACTTTTGCTTTGGAGTTGTACAAAATCTAACACAGTTTCTCCAAGAAAAGTCCCTCCACAGTGTGAGGCTGCTGTAGTGATTTGTGTTTTGATTATATTTGTCCATTCCTCAGGGGCAAGGACAATTCCCAGTTCCCTTTCCCACTTTACCTTTATGTCATTTGTTGAGTGGCCTCTCAGTTCAACTATGCATTTGTATAGCTCACCTACGATCTTTCTGGATAATTTTGCATTATAAGCCCTAATAAACATTTGAGTGATGCCCGATACATTACCTGGCATGTATCCTTTGATGTTCTTATCAAAATAGTGTCGAATTTGGAGGTATCTATAGAGAAACCCTGCTGGGCAAGGCCATATCTTTCTGACATCGTTTTAAAATTAATAAATTCTTGATTATCAACCAACACACAAAGTGCTGTAATTCCTTGCCTCATCCATTGAATGAACCTCGTGTCATTAACAGCTGGTTTGAAATTTGGGTCGTGAGTCGGCCACATTAAGATTTGTATTTCTTTTTTAATATTGAGTTGTTTCACTAGGCCGGACCAGATCTCCATAGAAAACCGAACCCACCGACTCAGGATTTCATATTGTTTAGCAGCTAGTGGGCATCCTAGCAAACTCTGTAAGGGCCTGTCTAGCATCGACAGCTCCATGTGTTTCCATTTTGCTAAATATTCTTTATTACACCAGAGCATCAGTGGCCTTATCTGTCCTGCTAGATAATAATCTTTAAGGTTGGGTAAGCCCATCCCTCCGCTTTGCTTTGGCAGCTGTAGAGTTTTGTATCTCACCCGAGGGGGTTTGCCGTTCCATATGAATCGTGATATCACATTCTCTAAATGTAGTATCCGGAATATGAATGGGTAATGACATAACAAGTAAAGAAGTCTGGGTAATATATTTGTTTTTACTGACATAATTCTGTTTCCAAGATCCAGGGGCAAAGAGGCCCATCTATCTAGATCGTCTTTTATCTGTGAATCTATAGGTTCATAGTTATCAGAGTACATCAGAGACATGTCTTTTGTTCATTTTACACCTAAGTATTTAATGGATTTGGAGTCCCAATTATACTTGTATTTATTTTTTAGATCCAACGTCGGGATAAAGTTGAACACTAGAGCTTGAGTTTTATCAACGTTAAGAGAATAACCTGACAAACATATCCATTAACCTTGGGAGTCCTGAATCCGGGTTCTTTAGACTGACCAGGACAACGTCCGCATAAAGACATATTTGGTACTCTGTATCTCCCATTATGACGCCTTCCAGGTCTGTATCTTGCCTTATTGCCTGGGCAAGCGGTTCGATAAATAGATTAAAGAGCCCTGGACTGGCTGGGCAGCCCTGGCGAGAGCCATGCTGCAGGTGAATGGTTCTAGACAGACTTCCGTTTACCTTGATTCTAGCCATAGGGGATGTATATCATGTTTTAATGCTCATAATGAACTTCTCATAAAATCCAAATGTTTCCATAACTTTATAGAGAAAACCCCACCCCACTGAATCAAAGGCCTTTTCTGCACCCATACTGAGGAGGATGGCACTGAGTTTTTCTGTTTGTATATAGTCAATGGTATGGAGAGTCCTCCTTATATTATCCTGGGTCTGCCTACATTGAATAAATCCACACTGGTCCTCATCAATCAATAGGGGCATCACTTCCTCCATTCTTTTAGTTAAAATAGCTGCATATATTTTATAATCCTGATTTAGTACACTAATGGGTCTATATGACCCACATTCTTTCAAGTCCTTACCCTCTTTAGGAATGACTGAAATGGTGGCCTCCCTCCAGGAAGGAGGGAGCACTCCCTCATTCAGAGTGTAATTAAAGCTTTTATGAAGTATTGGTATTAAATGCTCTCTTAGTGATTTATACCACTCTCCTGGAAATCCATCTGGACCTGGAGATGTACATGATGTTATTTATTTTATCAATTTGTCATTGTGCATTTTCCCCAGGGAGGGCAGGTCCAACCAGCTCAGAAACTCTTCAACCTTATATTCATCAAATGGTGTGGACTGAGTGTACAGGGCCTGATAAAATGTCTCAAATGCTTTTTGTATCCCCTCCAATTCACATGTAATCTTTTTAGTTTCACGCTCGATACCCAGGTCGTTCAGGCCGGTACTCTCGCTCAGTACAGTTTTGATAAGATTCTCCACAAAAAGAACCATTGAGGTCCGTTCCGCTCCTTCCTTGATACCATAGATCCGAATGTTATTGCGACGCGAGTGTCCTTCAAGTTAGGTGAGTTTTGATTTGAGTTGGAGCTGGGTCTCCTGCAGCTGGGTTATAACCTCGTTTGCTTCCAAATCATACGTTTCCACCTCTCCGTTGCGCCGCTCGGCTTCTTCGAGTCGCTGCGAAGTAGCTTCAATTTTCCTCGTAGCTTCCTCCATCTTCTGGTTAATGTCTGTGTCCTTCTTGTTGCTTCTTAAGGCCATTCCAAGGTTATTTTCTCCCCCCCTGACATTATTATGTGTTGATGAACACTTTCAAAGTAAATCTCCTAAATTATAGGGGGGTATTTGGTAGTCCAGTCGGGAGCTAATTTGTTATGCTGCCATCCTCACGATCGCGCCACCGGAAGTCCTATCACCCAGTATTAACAGTTTTCTTTGTCATTACTTGACGTTTCTAAACCTATCATGTCTTTATTGCACACAACAGTATTCAGAAAGTCCAGCTTCAAGACATGGGGGCATATCGATGTGCTGTTCGGTCAGAAAGCCACCAGACCATGTCCGAGGAGGGGAGCATCCAGCTGGAGGGTGAGTTCATCTCCAGCTCTCTGATGTACAAAAAGAGAGCAACAAAAAAATAACAAGTGCTACAATTGTATTAATAAAAATACCCTGATTAAGCTAATGGGGGCGGCAGTAGCTCAGTCAGTAGTGTCTTGAGTTACCAATTGGTTTTTGGTTGTTCACTGGTTCAATCCCTTAAACGGACCAAAAAATGGTGGACTGCCAAAATGAGACGTGCCATTTGATACCTGAGTCCTGTTAAGGTGTCATTGAGCAAGACACCAAACCACCTTCTGCTCCAGGGTGCAGAACAATGGCTTCTTTGACACCTCCATTATTGCATGCAGTTGTGTGTACGTTTGGCCTAGTGTGTAAAAGTCCCGTCTGCATGTGTGTATTTCAACTGTAAATGTATAAGAACAGAGTTAAACTCAATTTCCCCTTGTTGGATTAATAAAGTATTTCCTCTTCTCTCTTAGGTCTTCCTCACTTCTCGGTGGAGCCCCAGCACACGTCCATGGTGGCCAACGTGTCCCTCAGCCTGAGCTGCGTGGCCCACGGCCCCCCAGACCCCGTCAGGGTCATCTGGCTGCAGGACGGCGCTCCTCTCAACTCCCTGAAGGACCCGGTGGCCCTGTCCCCCTCCACCCTCAACATCACAGGTACCAGCTTTCACTCTCTGTCACCACATGAACACAGCTTAATCACAGCCATTATAATGTGTAGCCTCAATCCCAATAGGGGCCATCTCACTTTGCCACTCTGGGCAGTGATCAGTGGAACAGTCTCAACGGAACGTGTTTAGTTGACGTGTTCCGTAAACTAAATTGAAAATAAAATAAAAGTATAATACCAACAGTCCAAAACACAAGGATGGTAGTTTTGATAAGTAGATACATAAAATAAAAGTGTAACATTTAATTCGGTTTTAACGACTGACCATTTCTGCACAAATCAATTAATCGGTGGTCATTAAAGTACTATATAGGTAAAGGTTCTTGTCGCTGTCAGTAGCCTGTGGCCTCGATTAGTATTTTTTAAATGACTGAAAACAAGGTCATTAAAAAAATCATTTGTTTTCATTTAATGTATCTACACTGTACTGGTTAAAAAGACACAGTAACTATATTATATCCTTTTTCTGAATCTCTTCTCCGTGGCTTGAACAAAACCACAAAAACCCTCCCCGGAGAGAGTGGGCTGGCTGGCACGGTGCCAGTGGATCCATTGAAGATGTGCCTTGTGGTTTTGTGGTTGATGGGTAAAAGTAGCAGGCACGAGACGCCTATTGGCCGGGGGAGGAGATAAATAGATGGGCAGAGGACATGAAAGAAAGAAGGAGAGAAAGGAAGAGGGTTCTGTTGCTGCTTGAATGCCAACCACAGAGGCCTGCCAGAGAGCTGGCCTCTGCTAAGGGGGGGGGGGGGGGGGAGCAGGCAGCAGTGGTTCTGGTTTGACTCACCAGAGCTGGCTGGCTGGTGCTGAGCTGAGCCCGTTTAACGGTAACCAACACTCACATCTCTGGAATGGACAGCTGCTCTGACACGGGTCCAAACACAAAAAGTCTTTAAAAAGGCCCATAAAGAGAAATGGCACGAAGAGCATCTCACCCATTAATAAATAAACCTCAGATTTGAGGTAGTTGAGTAGAAAGACTCTGCAAAGGTTAAGCAGGAATCCTATATATTATTGTGTAGCCAATACAAACATCCCTGGTGATGTTCTGCCAAGCCTAGAGGATCCGAATGAACTAACACATCCCAAAGCAACAGTCCTCGGTCCGTCCTGGGACTTGAACCAGGGACTCTCCAGTTCCCAAGTCCCTGTAGACTGTCCCCAAAGCAGCATTCTTGAATTCTTGCTTGAATTGAATCCAGGTGGCGACTGATTTAGAGCGTCACACACATTTCTAACTAAAACATTTGTATTGATTCAAAATTGAATAAATGATAATAATAAAAGGTTCCAGTTGTTCATCCATCAACATGCTGACAAATGTCAGCTTCACAAATCTCAGGCTTTCATACTTTTCTTTTTCTTGTAACCATGGATGTATGAAGAGAACTGGATACAGTGTTGGGGGCGGGCCCGTTCATTCCTATTCAAGCTTCTTTTCGGCGCATGAAGCCAAAATGACCTGACTGTATGTACAAAGAGTGCCAAGATCATCTGCTGATCTGGGCACATAGAGCAATAGCATGCGCACTTGCATTTTCCTCAGGCCCCGCCTCCAAACTGTTTACAGAAGTGTCACGTCCTGTCTCGGATCGGTCAAATGAATGGAGAGGGGCGATGACTCTGCATTTCTTTTTTTATCACCTACTGATTTAAATAAAGGCTATTCAAGAGTTCGCAGTGGGTAGTTGATTAATGAAACACTTTTGACAGACGTCTCTTTCCCAATTCCAATTTGCTTTAGTGCCTGGCTCAATGCCTGTGGGACATAACTAACTATTTGAAAGCAGGAATTTGTGATATTTATTTTTCAGCTATTTGCAACATTTGACAAATGTACACATTATTGTTAAATTGATAAAAACGAATTGATTAGTTAATCCATTATGAAAATAATATTAGCTGCAGCCTCAAATCCAGTTTGTACAAAAAACCATGAAAAACACTGTAGGTCAAATGCCTCACATGTCAGTCAAGGAGAAGAAGCATCAGGACTGACACTTTGCATTACAAGCCCACTTAAAAACATCTAAACCATCTCTTCGACACTATTAGTTTGTTTCGTATTGCCCATGAGCTCAGGACTTCTTCCCGGTGACCGATCATGACATGTTCAGCTGGTCAGGGGAAGTCGCGTTGCGGTCTACTGATGTGAGAGGAAAAAGACAGAAGGCCGAGTTACGCAACTCCGAGATGGCCTGATGTGCAGTTCATTCTCCCACACGGCCAGTGGTCATCCCTCACCCCTCCCTCCCTGCTCTTCCTCTCTCCCAATCCCCCGCTTCACCCAGGATCGTACCCCCTGTTCTTTTTCCGGCCAACACAATGGAGGCATGGTGCGGTCAGCACAGAGCGACACACAGACACTCTGTGCAGGGCCTCAGAGTGTCTGACTGACGGGTGTTAGATAACAGCGGTAAAACTTGACTGTCACATGTTGCAGTGTGTGTGTGTGTGTGTGTGTGTGTGTGTGTGTGTGTGTGTGTGTGTGTGTGTGTGTGTGTGTGTGTGTGTGTGTGTGTGTGTGTGTGTGTGTGTGTGTGTGTGTGTGTGTGTGTGTGTGTGTGTGTGTGTGTGTGTGTGTGTGTGTGTGTGTTTGTAAGCCTGTGTTGTGGAATGATTCGAGTGTGTGAGCATACTGTGAGTCATTCTCTGTTGAAAGTCAGTGTGTGTCAATGTGTTGTGTTTAAAGGGCCCCGGCCTATTGGAGGCAGGGACTCAGCCTCTTACACCTGGACCTCAGCACGAGCTCTCGCTTTGTTCTCTGGACTACACTGTAAAAAATGTCAAGCTGCAGGCATAGGAACTACACACATGCGGCCCGAGGGAAGAGATTCTTAAGCTTATAGAGTTTTGATAAGGTTCCACATTGTAATTGAGCATGTGTGTAACACTGTCATTAGAACAATCACACAGAAAGGAATTTGAAGGTTGTCGCAGTGAAAGACTACTTGGCTCGTTGAAAGATTTATGACGTCAGATTAAATAAAAACTATGTTTCAACAGTAATTATCAGTAAGAAATAATGGCATGTCTATTCAAACAACAGTAACATGGAATCCCATAAAACCTTTACTTTTTAATCAAATGTATTCCAGTTTTATCCTAGACATCTTAACCTCCAAATTATAAAACCAGTACTCACTGTGCTACTGCATACATCTATATATTATTTTCAAGAAAATGCACATCATTATCAACACAACAGAGCTGGATTGTCAAAAGTCTTAAAACAGGGAAAAGTTGTATTGGTTTAGGGCTTTGCATTATTATGTGTCTTTAGATTAAAAAAGACTGATGAAATATCAATACATTCATTTTTTACAATACATGTTTGCGTCCAACCCTAAGAATGATACAAGCCGTAAATTAAGCACTATTTTGAGGGACTTGAGTATTTACATTTTTTTGCTGCTTTGTACTTCTACCCCACTGCATTTACGAGGGGAAAAGTGTACTTTTACTCTTTAGTTTCCTTGCGGATGTGGATTAATAATATGAAATATACTAATCAAGTCTTAAATCAGACTTTAGTTCCACCTGGAGTAAATCCACAAGCTACCCTGCAGTATACAAAGTCATTCAAACTAGCTGCACCTTTACCAGCTTTGATAACACTTTCATGATCAATCATTATAAAACATATCATATATATTATTCTGAAATGGACCAATCTGCACAATGACTACTTTTACTCTTGGTAATTTAAGTATACTTTTGATGCTTATACTTTTGTACTTTTACTGGACTAACATTTTGAAGGCAGGACTTGTACTTGTATCAGAGTATTCCTACACTTTGGTACTTCTACTTTTACTTAAGTACAAGATCTGAGTACTTCTTCCACCTCTGGATACATATGAGACTGTCAGAGGCACTGTTATCAAAGTGAAAGCTGTACAATTATGTGTGATAAGAGACACTGTTACAAATATGAACACGAATAAAATGTGTTACATAGAGACTTTACAGGACACATTTGTCTTAAAGAAACACAACTCTAGAAATGCTAAAACTGATATGTCTCGTGAAGGCCAATTTCTTAAAAATGTACTTTCACATCAACAAATGTATCTTCGCTTTTGCTGTAACTACTGTATGTAAATGTCGAATACAGTTATTGTGATTCTGAAACACATGCTAACCCCAGAACCAATCACAATACTGTTGACAGAGAGATCCCGTTACCTCCTGGAAACTATTACCCTCACATTATTCGCACTTTGGTTTCAACTTTCACACTGTTTCTTCTCACATTAGCATTAGGTGCGACTCAGCATGCTGAGCAAGGATTCCTGGTTTAAACCCCCCCCCACCCCTAAATGTTCCCGCCTCACATGCTTTGTTTCATTTCTTCTTCCAGGTTTGAACAGGACCAGCACTTTTTCCTGTGAGGCCCACAACCGCAAAGGCGTGGCCACCTCTGGATCTGGAACCATCACGGGTAGGTGTCACTGTGGAAGCACCAGTTAGACACACTTTTCCTTTTCTATCTTTTTAATTGTATTATTCCTTATCGTTTAATCTTTATTCATGATGTCTTTTTTTTTGTAGTTCTCCCATCAAAGCCTCAGAATCTGCAAACGTTGGAGATCACTCCGACCAGTCTACATATATCATGGCAGCCCGGTTTTGGAGGCGACTACCCAATAATCCGCTGCTCTATTCAGGTGAGACAGCGTGAGATAAACATGAGAAGACCACAACTCACTGAGAAAACGAGTCACTGCTGATTGTTTGACCCACATGTCAAACAAACACACCACTCTCCCGCTATTTACAGGACCAGAGTTCTACTTTTGAGGCCTAATTTTAAAGCAAAGAGAGATTTATTTTCCTTTTCTTCTCCTCCACCCCTCCCTGCTTTATTCATGTACTAGTGGGTCAGGTTTCACTCTGGGAAAGTGGCCTCCTGGACTAATCTTGTGTAGCACCACTCCCTCTGCCACTATCCTGCTCTGTGGCCATTACAGCTCAGAGCTGAGAGCAGGAAAATGTTTCTCCTGGAGAAGGGAGCGGAGCAGCACCACCCCTAAACGTCTGGTTCTAATAAAGCTGCCCCTCATACCTCTTGCTGTTCTTGCCCCCCTCCCTTTTTCCCCCTCAAAACCCCCTCCTCAGCCTCACAGGGGAACAAGGCGAGGGGCCGGCTCCAGCAGAATGGGGCAACAATCTGAATTTAACGGTCCATTGTGTGGCGAAAGAAACATGACAAAATGTACGGAGTAGAGAGCTGAAAGATGTTACTTTGCTGCACAAAGGAAGCATAAAGCAGACAGAAAGAAAGGCAGACAAACTAAGAAAGGCAGAGGGAAACAAAGACAGAAGACGACAGGAACGAAAGTCACTTATTGAAAACAGGAACATCCAGACAGCAGGTACTGTGGGTTTGAGACATGCTGAGGGAATGCAGGCTGGAGTGTGACTCAGAGCTGCACAATTAGATGAATACACTTGTTTACGGGCTGGACTGGGATTCATCCAGACAGGAATCACTCGCTCCTTCTCTCTCACACACATTCATACAGTCCTCATTCATACACCTTAATATTACTTGGGATCACACCACCTAACTCACGCCATGGAGAAAAAGCACCACCCACTACTCGTGAACTCTCAATAGTCATGTTGTTTTTAAAGGTCCCGTATTATAAACAGTTACATTTCTCCATTTTTCTTTATTACAAAGCAGATATAGATGCTATATAAATACTGTTAAAAATATCAAAGGCTCAATCTGCAGCCCACATTCCGAAATAAAATAATATTAATGCTTCAAAAGTTTCACTAGTGGTGCAGTGATGAAGTCTTTGTGTAGGATGTCCCGAAAGTTAGAATCCTAAGGACTCCCTCGAAAAAAAGCAATGGGATTTTCCCATCAGAATTTGGAATATTGCAGAAATAAGATCTTTGGAAAACACACATGTATGATACTTACACATTTTGTCCACATATGCATTGTAGTTGCAGTCACGACCAGTGTGCAGATGCAGAACAGACGGAAACACTGACCAATGAGAGCAGACTGGACTTTTTTCAGGGAATAGTTCTTAAAGAGACAGGTGCTAAAACAGTTTCACACGGACAGTAGGCCTATAGGAAAAATAATCAGTTTTTTCTTTTAATGAAATCTAAATAGTAACCCAAAAAACATGTAGAAACATGAAAGTGAGTACAACAGCACCTGCGCTATACACACACATGATCTGTTGGTATGGCTGCTCATTTGTATTTAGGTTTTGGGCTCTGACTGTAAAGCCCACCCTGTGAAGAGCAGCCAGCAGCCTGCAGGAGCTGCTTGATAATGAACACCAGAATAATGGTCCCGACTGGCGACTTTCATGTGGTTTTCAGATTGCTGCAATGCATGCGCTATGTTCCTCTTTAAACGTGTTTACCACAGAGACTTTGCAGAGACAGCAGGTTTCTGCCTGGGACTTTTGGATGGCGGGTTCTGCTTCCCGTGCACCTTACTGAGCCTGGGTCACGTTCAAACAACAATAAAGAGGTTTTTAAGACATTTCGGCCATTAGCATTTCATTGCCGTCTCAAAGCAGCACCATCATGCTCCTTCATTCTGGAGCGTCTCTCTCCCGAGAAAGACAACCAAATGTTTTTGATTTGGAAAACAGGAAGTTTCTCTTATCTTATCATAGATGCAACATTAACTATTTTCCATAAAAGTGGTTCCTGCAGACCAACTGTGATTGGTAATTTGTAGATTATAAAAAATATTGATAATATCCTATTAAGGTAGTATTGATTGTATCGATTAAGACCACACTTACATTTTAAATTCTGTTGCTTTGCACATTCAAACATATGAAGTAAATGGTTGTCTACCTGTCTCTCCTATGCACTTGTATTTCTATAGTTTAAGTGTTTTATCTGGCTCTGACTAGTAATAATAGACATCTTGAAAGTGATTTATTGAGTTATTCTAATAGATGCCATTGCCAAATGCATTGGTTTCAGATCCGTTTGCACTAGAAGAACAAGGTCCTCTTCCTGTTTGTGCCATGAAGCAATACAGACGGGGAGATTTTAGCCTTTGCAGACTATTTAAATGCAGGAAAAGGAAAACCCTAAAAAGCATAATAGCCTTTAAATATAAACATATCAATATGGAGAAAAATCATAACACAAGTTTGTCATTTGAATGTTTCAGGCCAAACACTCGGGAGAACCCTTCACAGGAGGCCCAGATAAGATGATCCACAACCAGAACGTGAACATCCCCCCAGCCTCGCACCTGATCGGGGGCCTGGAGCCCCACAGCCTGTACGCAGTGAGGGTGGCCTGCCACAGCAGCCAGGGCCCCTCCGCCTGGACCCCCTGGGTGGAGCTGCGCACCAAAGAAGGAGGTGAGTCCTCAGAGGATGTTTGTTTTCATCCTGCATGTGTGAGTGCGGGGTCAGCTCCTCTGAAGTGAGTCAAGGCTGTGTTATCTGGCTACTGACAGCCCCCCCCCCCCCCCCCCCCCCCCCCCCCTGCACAACTGCAGGAATGGTTGAGCCTCATTTAAGAGTCATTTCGTCTGTACAAAGGATTAATTTATGGAAGTATGAAACTAATTTCTGCTTTCATGTTCAGATACATACAGTAGTTGGAATGTACTGTTATGAAGAGGATACACATTTTGACTAATACTTAAATATTCAAGATTCCTAGTCCGTTATTATTTATTTGTTATTGTTTCTAGAAGCCCCAGGTCAGTAGTTAGTTGTTGTGAGTGTCTGCCATTTTAACCTTTGACCCTAGCTGTGTTCTTATCTGATCTCCTATGTGTGATTGTTTTATATCTTGGGTTAAATAACAGCTGTCAATGCTCCAACAAGTCCCCAAAAGGGGCCTCTAGGGTGCAAAAGTAAATGCAAAAGGTTATTCCACACTTAATTATAGACAGTAAAAGGCCTAAAAGGATACTCTTAACTATCACACTTGATTCTTCTTCTCCGCTATGAGCTTTATTTCGTGGTGTAGTGAATACACTTCTGCTTTTCAGCTTGATTCTATATGATAACAAGAATCGAGTTACAGTGCACGCTTAGTCATAATACTGCTTCCCGTGCCCCTTCCACTTAAGTCTGTGTTTATGAAGAATACCAGACCTAAGTCACTGTACCTCTGCAATCTTTCAAATGTAAACTCTTGAGGTAGAAGGCTGCCTGGTATTGGAGAGACAGAGTAGGTGGGGAGGGAGGGAGGGAGGGAGGGACGTTAAATTCTCCTGAAAGGCTTCAGTTAGGATCGCAGCACTCCGTTCAAACTGTACAGGCTGCTGTGTTTGACTTTAAACTGAGGTGGGATTTTCCATGCCAGCTCATGCCGTCTCTATCCCTGACGAGCAGGAATGGAAACAGCAGAGGAGAGATCTGCCACAGGAGGGATGATCGGGGCTTTCCATGATTGAAGCTGCTCAGAATCTGAAAACACTTCAACATGGCATTTCTCATGAAATAGGGAAATGGAGAAGTACTTGTAATAAAAGAGAAGGAGAAAAAGTGGTTTTGAGATAAGCTTGCTACAGTCGGGATTTTCAAGTTTCACTACTCCATTCAGCAGAGTTGAAGCAAACTTGGCTTTGTTTCTGTGGAAAAGATCCTCTGTTTTGCAAAATGATGTAATGTCCCTTTGGACAGCATTGTCTCATTTGTGCTGCGGCACTTGTTCTAATGAGTCAGGGGATGAACAGAACAACTGAAGATTTGGCTGCTGGTCAAGGATAGTTCAGGAGGCACTGACGGTCAAAGGGAGTGAGGTTAAAGAAGGGAGGCTCACAGCTCAGAAATATTTTCCACTTCTATCTCTTTGTTTTCAATGTGCACTATGAGAAAAACTCCCACAAGGCTCTATTGTTGGGACTGAAGTGTTTTTCCATTTGTTTTTCATTTGGAAATCACACATATAGTATGTTCCTCACTATCTCTTTTCATATGTCTTCTTGGCACAAACATTTGCTACTCCCATGCCTCCTGCTTAACCCTTTAATGGGCTTTCACATATAAATATTTTGGAAGTTAATTTCTTGCTTTTATTCTACATTTTACCCATTTTACAGATTAATACACCCCTATTACACCGTTATTATCCCCCGTAGTACTCCATCATTATTCCCATGTTACATTATTATTTCAACCATATAACACCCATATTACACCCATTTGACACCCATATTACACCCATTTGACACCCATATTACACCCATTTGACACCCATATTACACCATACTTACACTGTTATTACATGAGCTTATCAATATTTTTTTTAATGAATTGTTTTTTATTTTCTACATAACACCCTTATTACACACTATTACACCTTTATTGCACCCGCATTACACCCATTTTATTCCTCTTTACTCCCATGTTACACTATTATTTTGAACAGTATTGCACCTTATTATACTAATTTTACCCCCATGTTACATTTTTCTCACACCCATATTACACTGGTATTAGACCCATATTACAGCCATATTACACTGTTATTAGACCCATGTTACACCCATATTACAGCCATATTACACTGTTATTAGACCCATATTACAGCCATATTACACTGTTATTAGACCCATATTACAGCCATATTACACCCATGTTACACCCATTTGACATGTGGATACAGCCTGTCAAATGACTGTATCCCACAGGACACAGAAACCATTTAAGGGTTAATTCTTGAGTCTTCTCTTCATTACAGACTCTTCTGCTGCATGCTTTTTTTGTTCTCATTTCCATCCTTCATTCCCTCTTTGTTCTCATTTTGTCGCAGTAGTCTCTTTGAACCTCAAATCCTACAAACTGCACCGCAGAGTTTATTCCCAACATCAAACAAAACCTTGTTTTCTAAATCCAATCTTCCAACTTCACCCCATCATCGCTCATTTCCCCCTTTCTTTTGACCTCAGATGACCTGTGATTTCCCTTCTGAGAGCACACAGCTATGCACTGTGGGAAACACACAATAAGGAGTCGATGGTGGGAGAAGGCAGGGGATGGATGAGGAGCAGGGAAACGAGGGAAGAGGGCGCTTTGAGAAAACACAGATTTTGCTGTTTTCCCAAAGCCCGATATTTCCCCCAGAGAACAGAAAGGGGGGTGGGGGGTTGGTGGGAGAGGAAGCGAGACGACCCATATCACCCCCTAATCCTAAAGCTGCAACGAGATGATGTTTTACATATCCATTCTGTAAACGCATTATCCCTGCACACAGTGGTGGAAAAAGTATTCAGATTATTTACTTGAGTAAAAGTATATACCAAACTGTAGAAATACTACATTTCAAGTGAAAGTACTGCATCGTCAAAATCTGAATTGATAAAATACCTAGTAAATACATCTGCCAAATAAATGTAATGGAGTAAAAAGTACAATATTTGCTTCTAAATGTAATTCAGTAGAAGTATAAAGTAGTATAAAATAAAAATACTCCAGCAAAGAAAAGGGAAATCAAATGTGAACTTAAGTACAGATCTTGAGTTAATGTACTTAGTAACTTCCCACCACTGCTTGCACATCCAAATAAAACAATCTAACATCTTCTTCAGAGCATCTTTGCAAAACAAAATAGGCGAGGCACTTGACAAAGTGTTCTTTTGACACACTTCTATAATCCGAAAAGGCACTCCTTAATCCCTCCACACATCTGTTTGTACCCCTAAAGTGACGCTACATTGAATCCAGAGTTACCGGACAACCAAACTCACCATTCTAATAGGAGTGAGTCATGGAGACGTGGCACAACACACACAAGTCATATGTAATCCTATTTAATACCACTGCCAGTAAAAAAAAGGCTCCATTTGCTGAAGACAGACAACAGTGTGTTTCACCACGAATGAATCAAAGTGGATGTCCATAAATGTTGTGACATTTCTTGATGACACGAAGATTCGTGTTCGGAGTGATCAGGGAAACATGTTTCCTGTGTAGTGCTGACATAGTTTTTTATTTATGGAGAACAGATCTCCGGGGTATGAGTCAATATTTGGCTTCAGGGTGACCCTTTTCCATTCACGTGTTGACCCCCCCGGAGAACTGAGAGGACGAGATGGAGACCCAGGAGCAGTCCTGAGTCCGAATGCTTCCAAGCATGGTTATCCGACACTGCTTCTACATTTGCAGCACTAAACAGGATGTGAAACAGTAGTCTGCCATGGATGCAGATGTTAACCTTTTCTGCTGAGAAACTAATTGTGACTCCAAAGTGTTTCTCAGCCTCTTGCCAAGCCGAGCCTGGGAAACAAATGTTAATCTGTAGTTTCTGCATTTTAGACAAACAGCACATGTACTTTTTCCTTTTGAAACTACGCAAACCTTTCAACTGGAACTTTTTTCCCCCTCCTCCACAAATCTCTACGTCAAGGCTTACTTCTCTTAAACTCATAGCTCCGTGACAAAAAAAGAGACATTTACAGCAGAGGGGGCAGCGAGGGAGAAGAACACTTGGAAAGAAGGAGATCGAGTAATGTTGGATTGAAGACAGGGAGAGGAAAGGCAACAAAGGGATTGAGAAGGAGAAGGCAGAGAAAGGGGCGGGGGGGCACAGATGACGGATCATAGGTGGAGACGATCTTCTGGAACGAACTTGACTTGTTTTCGTTGCCGCTGGCAGGCAGAGCAGGGACCGCATGTGGAAACAATCATCCGCCAAACGCTTCCTGATAACATCATCCATATAGGCTGGGCCATGTTCTCCAAACTCACACTTACTTGGTGTGTGTGTGTGTGTGGGTGTGTATGTGTGTGTGGGTGTGTATGTGTGTGTGGGTGTGTGTGTCCAGTTAGTTTGTGTGACTTTTTAAGCCTGCAGAGTAAGTGAGAAGCAAAGACAAAGAGAGCCCTAACTCAGACGGCTACAAAGGAAATGAGCACTGTCGTCTCCTTGTGAAAAGGTTCTTGGATTCTTGTGTCTTACACAGCATCAATCTCAGACACACACACGTGCACAAACACACACACAAATTCCTCACACTTTTTCTAGCATTTTATTCAGCAAGGTTTTCTCTCCACTGGGGATTTCTGTTGCCAGCAGCCCTTTTCTTTCACTCTCTGCTCCAGGAAGCCAGAAAAGAAAAGGGCAGGCGAGAGAATGAGGCAGAAACAGGGATGGACAGCCTGGAGGAGGGGGGCAGGGGCCCCGGCAAGTGTCCGTTTGAGGTCCTCCAACCGTGGCTTTTGAACTAGCTAATCGCCCCACTCTGCGGTGCCCTCAGCAAGCCTTTTGTGTCCTTATAAAGCTGAATTCCTCACATTCCCTGACATCTTCCCCTTCCAGCTGTTGTAGTTCTCCACACCCTGGAGGCTGCAGGCTGTCAAAACAACACACGCCTGAAAACCCCCCCCGACACACTGGCCCCTGGCCACCAACCCCACAGTCACACCCTGCTTAGCCAATCTGACAAACAACTCAAAAGCGGTATAAAAGTTTGAAAATTGAAACTCGTTTTCTTTTGTTTCAGTGCCAGATCACCCGCCCGTTAACGTTAGCGCTGTGCTGAACGGGACAGACGTGCTGCTGACATGGGAGGGGCCCCCAGGAAAGCTGAATGGAGAACTGCAGGGCTACATGGTGGAGTACAGCACCCCCAACGCTCAGCAGGTGAGGCACCATGCAAACATTTTGACATTGTTCATCCTATAAATGATCCAGAAGATGTTAAATCTGCTTGATTCTGACTGCCTCTTTTCTTCTGTTGACAGTTTGTTGTGGACACTGGATTGGACACCGAGCTGTCAATCAATCTGTCTGTCCCCCTGTCCAATGTGACCTTTCGAGTGTGTGCCTATACAGGGGTGGGGCAAGGACCCTGGACCCCCACACAGACCCTGACCCTTATTACTCCTGGTGAGTGCCAAAAAGAGTGAAAACGTACTTAAAACATAAAAAAAAACCTAGATCTGCCTATTTGTTGTGACCGTATTTGTTGAGCAGTAGTTTAAATGCTTTTTTTAAATACAGAAATGAGTTCTCTTCAAGAAACTTATAAGCAAATATCTGTCAAACAACCAAATGAAAAGTGGTGCTTTGGCATGATTCTTTCAACTAATCAATTAGTAATTATAAAATAAATAATGAGTTAACTTATGTTATATTTTTAAATGCTGCATCATTTCGTACATATTCTTTATAAGGTATAATATTTTATTACAGTTACAAGAAGACGTCAGATTTGTTTCGTATACATCCTGCAATGATAAACACATTTTTAAGATCTGACCAAAGAAAATGTGTTACTTTTGTGTTAATATTGACACGAGCTACGCTTTCTCTTTTTTCTCACAGAAATGGAGGAATTCAGAGGTGAGTAATGACCGACTTTACACATGAACAAACCTACCATTAGCTCTGATGTGACCCCTCAGAGTGACACGTAGTGACACGCTGACAGTGGAAGTGAGATCATGGTGTTTTTGAACACCATTCGACTTCTCTTTCTTATTCTCTGTCAGTGGGTTCCTCCATGAGCCTGCAAGTTTCTTCCTGTGTGTCTCAGAGATAAAAAAGGGAAGGAAGAGAAAAAGGAGAAGAGAAGATCTCAGAGTGAGACGGGAAAGGGGAAGAGAGAGGGGATGGAGGGGTGAATGGGGAGACGCATCATAAATATTTATAACAAGCGAGAACAGTGTAGCATCTCTGTTTGCTTAGTCCAATAGAGCCAGACAGACAATTCAAACAACAAGAATGGCAGATAAAAAGAGGCAAGGAAAGTGGAGGGAGGGGGAGTGTGAATGAGAGGGGGAGTTGGGGTGGAGGTTGTGGAAGAATAGCAGTAACTAAGCAGGGAAGCTGGGAATACATTCAATGTGAGGGATGGGACTGCAAGAAACACTAGATATTTTGAGAATAAGGAAAAAATTAAACATGCTGTATTTTTAGAGGAGAAATGTTTAGATTTAGCTCAACAAATATGCAGGGAGGGACTGAGGTCACTTATGGCGCATTTCCACTGCAGCGCGTAGCACGGTTTAAGCGTGCCGTGCCAAACCCGGCCCGTTTTTTTGTTGCGTTTCCACTAGGGTAGTTCCGGAAAACATGAATAAAACTACACATCTTCAGATGTTATACATACATAAGTGTCCTACACTAATAATACAAAGTAATTATGGCATTGTATGCTGTGTGACCTTATTTGTAACATCTTCAGACCTTTCCAACTCCTCAACAGTTGCCTGTCTTTGACTGTTGCAGGTGTAGGTTCAAATATAAAGAAAATATATGTGTGGATAACAAAATACATCCGTGATGAACTAAGCTGCAAACTTATACTGGAAAGTATAATTTATTGTGTTAACACTCACTGTAAACTTGACAGTTTTTTAACCCGCACCGCCTAGTGGTTAAAGCACGTTATTGCATTTTTTTGTTGAATATGTTATATTTACATACAAAATAGGGGGAAAGTAGAAGATCAATGATAGAAATATAGAATATAAAAAATCAAGAAGATACTGTAAGTGATCTCTACAATAAAACAGTTTAGTGCCGGATGTACAAAGATATTAATAGGAGGATGTGCAAAACAGAAAAACGAATGAACCTTTATTTAAACATTAAAGAATACTTTAGGTTAAGGTCTTCTTTTAAATAAGAAAAAAGCTTTGGGGGTATCTACAGATAAATATTAAGCCTGACAAAGTACTTAACGTCTAATATATTGCTTTCCTGCAATGTTAACTGTGTTGAAGCACTTATTTTAACTGATATTATACACATTAATTATACTCTTATGTAGATAGTATAAGAAATGTGCAGAATTTGACAGTGTAATGGTGGAGGTATACACACATATTGATAGATGTCTTGTAATGCACTGTTGAGGAACCTGTGACCCAAGTTTTTCATTCATTGCATAACTACACCGTAGCTGTGTATGATATGTCAATAAACCTTTGAAAATCTTGAAAGGGATGTGCAAAATAGCTATTATATACAGTTTTTAATTAACGAGTAATGAATATGCTTTATAGGGATCTGCAGATAAATGTTTAGGCTTCTCAAGCACCAACTATCAAATATCTCTCCTGATTGTTGGCACTTGACAATCACCTTTCCCTGAATTTTACTCAGGTGTAACTAAAGTCTGATTTAAGGGTTGTTTATATTTCACATCATTAATCAGAATCTGCAAAGTAACTAAAATAAATGTAGTGGAGTAAAAATACCAGGTTAACCTCTGAATTGTAGTGGAGTAGAATTACAAAGTAACAATGAGCTGTCATGTGGGTATATATTAATGCTGCCCATTATGGACACAAGCAATTTTCACCCATTTATTAATTATATGTTTTAAATTTGATAACACCAATGTGTTTCCTATCCCCTAAACCTCCAGGGATGTACACAGTTTAATACTGGCAACTTCTAATTGTGGGAAAAACGTCTTTTAAAACTACAATTCCCAGTAGAGACGTGCCATAGAACATGTTGCGAAACACAATAGCCAGCATGTGTAGTTCTGGGGGGGGGGGGGCTGGACCCGTTCAAGTCCAGTTTTGGATAGTCTGCCGTGGGTTTCATTCCATTTCAAAGAGCTGTCTGACGCTCGGCGTAACCTTGGCACACTGCCACTCCAACATCCAATCCCAGAGCTTGAAGATTAATCACGGGGTTTTTCAAGCAAAGGGACTGTAGTCCCAAACGATAGCTGAGGATTATGGGTAGTGTAGTGTCTTCGGCCATCCTAAACTCCGAAATGTTTTTGGGATTTCATATCGCATTAACACCATATCCCAACGTGCATTGCGGCTAAAACATCCAATCACCGAGCTTCAACCATAGCTGAGGATCTTGGGTAATCAGTTCAGTGGGTGTGTATCGCAATGATGCTCGAAATGTCCCTTATAGGCCTACGTCTGTTTCCGGGTATTTTATTTTGAAATTCAGTTCCTGACAGACGCCAAAAAGCCCGAGATTATAGAATCAAACAAATAAATAAAAACAAGGATAATTGTGTGTTATTGTTGAGTAACAGTGTGTTATTTAGAAAAGAATAACAAATTAGAAGGAAAAAAAGATTAAAAAAAATACAGATTTCAGTATTCTGAGGCTCTGAGCCCCATTTATTTTCCTCGCGGACGGCAAAAAAAGTCCGACATTATACGATTTAAAATAAAAACAATAAACGTGGCTTGATATTGAGTAAGAAAATGGTTTTATGAACCACACAGCTTCTGGTCTTCCAAGACCCGACCGGACAAAAAGACGTGGTGCAGGCACGAAACACACTACCAATAGAAATACATTGCTTTTAAAATCGTTCTGTGTGACACGAAAAAAAGGGGAAAATCGTGTTGGTGAACACGAATCAATAGATTAAATGTCGTGACTATAACACGAAATGCCGTGAGACTGGGTTGAACGTTGTATATGCTCCGTCCACACTCACAACAACGGCCTATACAGACATAAATAAAGCAGCGACTGTATTCGCCATGACACAGACAGTCTGTGGTTTGTACTTGTTTAACTTTTGTCTAGTTTCTGAACAGATATGAGGAGCTGTGAGCTTGAGTGCTAACAGCTAACGGCTGATGTTTTGGTTTTGTGGTTGATGTCACGGCTCCGCCTACACTGCGTTACTATAGTTACTGCCCCAGATACTAAACTGTAATGGAAACGCAGCATAAAGTGAGCCTGGCCTACCAAGGCCTAACTATACCGTACTAAGCCGTGCGAGGCCCTGCAGTGGAAATGCGCCATTAGTCAAATTGACCAGTAAAAACCTATTTTCCCTCACAATAATGATGCATGTGTATAGAGTGGTGCAGGAATCATTCCTAAAACAGGAATATGAGTCAGCATTTTACCACTTCCGGTTTGGAAAAGCTCTTGGTTAAGCCTTTTCACTCTCACTCTATTGCTGTTTTAAACTCCTGAATTTCCCCACAGGGATTAATAAAGGTCCATTTTATCTTATCTTAAAATAAGATCTGTGGTTAACACTAGTTTAAGAGATTTTCAAGTTTTGTTCTATGAGAAAAGATATGTCAGTAAACACCCCACTGGTGAATGTCTGAAACTTCTACAGCATGTGTCTTAAAAAAAGCTAATGGCTAACTGGTAACTAAAGGAGACATTAGCCGCTGTTAGCTTAGCGGTAGTGACGTGAAGTCATGTGACCGTGATGTGGTTAGTTTATAGCCTAGCCTTAGTTTTTTACTTCTTTCAATTTGTATTTACACTTCAGAAATCATGAAAGTGGTGTTAAAATGTAGAGATTATCTTTACTGTACAAAACACGTAAGAATCATAAACGTGTGTTGGCGACAGATCTTATTTTCTGCGATCTTCCAAAAAATGTCTTACAATGTTGTATGTATGACATCTCTTGTGAAAACATTCTGCCAAGCACATACATGACAATAATGTAATCATGTAGTAACAATAAAAGAAGTTACCTTATAATAAAGCCTCAAGTTAATTAAACAAATCAAACATAATCCCTGCTTTTTGTCACAATAGGGGCTCCATTACTTCTCTTTTCACATTAAAATGAAACACATCACTAAACCCTCTTCTGTCTCTTCCCACACCCCTTCCCCTCCCTCAGGCCCGTCAACTCCCCCGGCTTTTTCCTGGCACTGGTGGTATGTGGTGATGGCCATCGCCGGCGCCGTGTCCATCGCTGTGCTCATGGCTGTTTATGTGGCCAAGCTGCGGCGCAAGGAGACGCGTTTTGGGTGCGTAGGCTGTTGGCGCTCCTCAAGAGTGGAAGGGAGGGACTAGATAGTCGTGCCAAACCAAAAAAACTTCAGTGTTTTTCCAACTCCTTGACCGAGTTGTGCATGCCTTCTGAAAGCATTTGGACGTAGTTGCTGCCATCTGTTTTGCAAAAAACAACAATAACTCTAGCGAGTTATGGAGGCGTGCCATGTTTTCAGCTGTGTTTACGCTTCTGCTGGAGAGGCTTCTCATTGTGTTTTGCCCTGATTTATAATGTGTGTTCACAGAGAGGCGTTTGAACCCATGATGGAGAGCGGAGAGCTGGTGGTCAGGTACCGCGCCCGCCGCACGTACAGCCGCAGGACCACAGAAGCAACATGTGAGTCCTCCTCTTTGCCCCTGCATGTTATTTAGAAAGATTACACTTTGTATTTCCTCCTGCAGCAGTGAGAAGTAAGCCTCTCAGCATGCCCAAACCTGCCTAGTCCCCAAGGATAGATAGCGATACAGAAAAAAAGGTAGCATAGCAGCATCTTCTCTCACGCCCTGGGCTTGGATCCAACAGTTCAGTGGAAAGAACCATTGTAGAGACAAATACACTTCAAGTCATAACACAGAAATCACAGCTTGGGTTTGTTAGTTTGATCAAAGTCAGAAACAGGAACATCCTAAGGTTAATCCATCCTCTACAGCTGTGTTCAGTCAGCTGACAACTACACTGTGGCCCTTGTGCTCTATAATGCCATGTTTTATCTTTTTACAATCGTCAGATCAATTAGATGTGCAGTAAATCCATTCGTGAAGGTGTGCCCAGTAGGATTAGGAATGAATGGTAGAATTGAATTTGACTGCAATTTAGGCGTTTTCTGACAAAGTAGAACAGAGGAAGTGTGAAAGGGAAGGTTAAATCAAGATTACCTCAGATTGTTGGAAAGGGGAGAGAATTACCTGACGTACCTTTGTTAGAAATGTAATTTCAAACGTAAGCAGCCTGTAACAACAGACGAGGAGTTACTTGACTGCTCTGCCTGGAGGTCATTTCACCTTTGGGGAGTTAGGGTGAGCTTCAAGTCCCCCCCAGGTGGAGGGATGACCTCGTACCTGTCTAACACAAAGCAGAGGTTCGGGTGTATCACCAGCCTGCAGTCCCTGTGATTCGTCCTGATTCCACACAGAGATACCTGTAAACAAGCACAAAGACTCTGATTTCACACAGCTCGGTCGCATTCAAGTCGTGACATTGTCCCAGGTGTACGAGCAATATTTGTGAAGAACTCATACACAAGTCTCAGCTTGCCACAGCCACAAAGAGGCCGGGGGATAGGGGAAAAATAACAAAACTATGAGTAAAATGAGACCCGCAAAAAGATGTAGAGATAATGTGCACTGTGAGTGAATGAGAGAAAGCACACCGGGAATAAAGGAAGGGGTCAGATTGGAGGGATTTGGGAGGGATTTACGCCGCTGAGGTTGACCGGTAATTTTGGCCAATACCCTGGGGCTACGGTTATTGCGCGCATCGACTAATGGCTAGTTACACCAGCATGTGTTGGAACATGCCTGCGCACTGAGAACACTGTTGTTGGACGCGTGGCAGATTGATAGTGTAGCAGCAGCTGGAGAGAGATCTCTGATGCATGTCGTTGCCTTGTCATATTCTGGCCCAGATGTGAAAACAGAGCTAACGTCCGTAGCAGAGCGTGCTAGCCACCAAACAGCCAGCTGGTGGAAGAGAGTTAAGAACATTTAAACCAGCTTAAATCCTCTGAGCTCATCTCCCCTAGTGAGAGACTTTCTCATGGCAGATTTGCTCTGTCCAGTGGAATTAGTTTAGTTTGGGATTTTTCTGTCAGGATTGTGTTAACATGTCATTGTTTACGGGACAAAGTACGGGCTGAGTATCTTGCCCAAGAACTCTTTCACATGTTGACTGCCGGGCTGGGATTAGAACCACTGACCCTCGTATTGGTGGACGCCCATTCTCCCCTGAGCCACAGCTGCCCTGTTTGCAATGTAGATTCAAATGTTAATAATTTTAAAAGAAATAAGGGTTTCTGTAAGATATTTCCATTGTGCCTGTTCCCAAGCACGCCTCTCCAACAAGCCTTAACAACTACCGACCCGTGGCACTTACATCGACCATCATGAAGTGCTTCGAGAGGCTGGTCCTGGCTCGGCTTAAATCATGCCTCCCACCCACACTTGACCCCAACCAGTTTGCCTATCGTCAGAACAGGAGTACGGATGACGCCATCTCCACAGCACTACACCCTGCCCTCTACCATCTGGATCAGAGCAACACATACGTACGATTCCTGTTCATTGACTTTAGCTCTGCATTTAACACCATCATTCCTTCCAAACTGATTACCAAGCTCAGTGACCTTGGCATCGACCCCTCCCTCTGCAACTGGATACTGGACTTTCTCACAAACAGACCACAGCATGTTAGAATAGACAAGCTCACATCCTCTAATCTCATCCTTAGCACTGGTCTCCCGCAGGGCTGTGTGTTAAGTCCCCTCCTATATTCCCTCTTCACACATGACTGCAAACCTGTACATGGCTCAAACACCATCGTTAAGTTTGCAGACGACACCACAGTGGTCGGGCTTGTCAGCCACAATGACGAGATGGCATACAGGGAAGAGGTTGAGCATCTGGCAGAGTGGTGCGCTAACAACAACCTGGCTCTCAACACCAAGAAGACGAAAGAGGTCATTGTGGACTTCAGAAGGAACAAAGACGGCACGCACTCCCCAGTCCATCTTAGTGGAGAGGAGGTTGAGTGGGTCACCAGCTTCAAGTTCCTGGGAGTCCACATCCCGGAGGACCTCTCCTGGACCACCAACACCTCAGCCCTAGTCAAGAAGGCTCACAAGCGCATCTTCTTCCTGAGGAAACTGGCAAAACTCCACCTATCCTCCCAGGTGCTAATGAACTTCTACCGTTGCACCATCGAGAGCATCCTCTCCACCTGCATATCAGTATGGTACGGTAACTGCACGGTCAAGGACAAGAAATCACTGCAGAGGGTGGTGAAGATCGCACAACGCATCATCAAGATGCCACTCCCCTCCATAGCCTCAGTCTATGAAAAGCGGTGCCTGCGAAGGGCACGAAACATCATCAGAGACTCTTCCCACCCCAACCATATACTGTTATCCCCCTACGTGGCACCCGCTCTGGGACACGCTACCGCAACCTCCCGGGTAGAACCAACAGGACTACGCACAGCTTCTTCCCTTCAGCAGTCAGACTGCTGACAATGAACCCCACGCTGTCCCATACTGCCTGGTTGTTGTCGTGTGCTGTGCTGAAGCGCAATTATCCTTATACATTACTGTTGTATATACAGTACTGTATTCACTGTATTTATTATTATCTATGTATTTATTCTTATTTATACATTTCCCATCTATTTACCTTTATTTTTGTATCATTTATTTTGTACATACTTCTGATAATTGTTTATATAACTGACTGTTTTGCACTCTGGTTAGACCCTCCTTAATTTCGTTACACTGTGCTTGCATTTTGTAATGACAATAAAGTAATCTAATCTAATATGATAGCTGACATTCACATTTTTGTAACATGACTAACATGTGCATTAAAAGTATGAATAATTTATTACATTAATACAATTAATACACTTTTAAACAATGTTATGTTACCTTAAAATCATTATTTCAAAAATAAAAATAAAAGATCAAAACTGTCAAGATTTAATTTAAAAAGTCTGGTGAGTTTTACAAGTAGACATACAGCTTTTATTTCACTTATATTCCCATTCCCATTGTTATTCAAGCTGGCAGTGTTTATTAACACTTTGTTTTTGGCTTAGTGTCGAGCATAGTGGTTTTATAGTCTGGCTGTTTTTCTCTTCTGTACTGTGTTGTTCATTAAAGTGCTTTGGTCAGCAAACACCATTAACATTCCTTATTTTTTCCTCTTCAGTGAACAGCCTGGGCATCAGCGATGAGCTGAAGCAGAAGTTACAAGACGTGATGGTGGACAGACATAAACTAACCCTGGGAAAGACCCTAGGAGAAGGTACTGCTTTGTTTATTGGCTTTGTTTTTACTATAAAAAATATTAGTCTCATGTCTAGCAGCTTGGGTTTAATATCTACAGTTTAAGGACAGGGACTGCCAGACAAACAGCATGGTGAAAGAGGCATTTGTGACACTTTTGTCTCAGGCATGGTATATTTAATGGTTAGGACTTGCTATGTTTTCACCCCAGGTATAGTCGAACAGTTTACAACGTGATAATCTCATAGCCAACCAGTCTTCACTGACATTTAAAAGGGCCCTATAATGCTTTTTGGGGTTTCTCTTTCCTGTAGTGTGTTATACAGGTTTTTGTGCATGTAAATGGTCTCCAAAGACTAATATCCCAAAGTTATCTCCAACACACGACCTTTTTGAACATTAAAGCATGGAGAGATGTCACAGTAGAGGCACCAAATACAATTATGAAAACTCAAAATGAGCATAATAGGGCCCCTTTAATGTTGTTGCATCTTAACTGACCATTGATTGTGTTTCTTTCTTCAGGGGAATTTGGCTCTGTGATGGAAGGTCTGCTGACTCAGGAGGATTCTTGCCTCAAAGTCGCCGTCAAGACTATGAAGAGTGAGTAGACAGTTAAAGCACTCAGCAACCACCACAATGAATCCCTTCATCTTGAGAACACGGGCCAATTGAGCCCCTCGGGTCAACATTTTACAAGTTTTGGGGGACAAACATTTCATTTTTCAAACAGATATCTTGTGAAAAATATTGGCAGAAGAAACAGTAGACCCCACATTTGCTGTAATGCCAAAGTAAAGTTAAGATTAGAAGATGAATTTTAAGGGAGAAAACATTGGGGAAACAGCCTCTTATGTGAACCAGTTTCAAGCTGTAGCGACGCAGTTAAAACAAACTGCAAACATGTATTAAAGCAGAGTTTAATACATTTAGGAGCCAAAACACCCTCGGAAATAAAAGTGTATTTCTTACCTTGGCAACTTCTCAGCCTTGCAGCAGTGCCATGAGCAATAGAAAACCCACATGTTCTCACCTTTGCACGTCTCCTCCACAGTCGCTATCTGTACCCGCTCAGAGATGGAAGACTTTCTCCGAGAGGCCGCCTGCATGAAGGAGTTTGACCACGCCAACGTCATGAGGCTTCTAGGTGAGACAGGAGTCATGCTGCCGAGCACTTCAAGAACCGACACAGAAACACTGGAGATTAACCCATTTAAAATTTAAAATTAAATGTAAAGAAAAACAATTAGCATGTGTCTTCCACAAAACAACTAGTACGTTTTTTGATGAATATCTCAAAACCTGGGCGAACAAACTTTAAATATGCCCATAACTAAACACAACTGTTTTTAACGGTCTTTAAAATACTGCAATATTTAATTCAGAATCAGAATACTTATATATTTATTCCAGGGGAAATTAGGTGTCATTAAAGTCACTCCATTTTAGAATGAAATAAAATGAAAGATAAATTATTAAAATATATAGAATACAAATCTGTATATAACATAAGAAGTTACAGTAAGAATGTGCAATAAATAAATAATAAAAGGTATGTATTCAAACAATAGTTGTTGCAGTATAATGTCCAATAAGAGATAAATAAATAAAATAGGAAAGAAAAAAGTATATAAACATACGTAGTTAAAGGTGGGGTAGGTAATTCACTTCAGAAACACTTTTTATTATATTCCATGGAATGCTCTTAACATCCCGATAGCAATGAATATATTAAATGCTTTGACAATAAATACATAAAAAAATATCATCTGTGGAAGCCGTGGTGCTGTAAAAAGCACGACCAATTATTTTAGCCGGGCTGGCTAAAATAACTGGATGGCCTACCTGCCTGTCAGCCTTCCATCTCGTGCACAAACTTATCTCGTGCCCTCATTGGTCATGTGCGCGTTCGTGTGTGTTGGAGGAGGGGCTCTGTAAGGAAGTTTGAAGGAAGGGGCAGATTTTTTTCGGCTGCGTACTTTCAAATTCGAGCGCACTCGAGCTGGTTTCTCCATTCTTACCTACCTTTAATGTTAATATGAAGTTAATTCAAGACTGAGCTGCTTACTTTATTATGCATAAAGTCGTGTTTAATTACAGGAACTGGATGTATTATATATATGTATAACACTGACTCTCTGTTTTTACAGGTGTGTGTCTGCAGACTGTGGAGAGTGAAGGTTACCCCTCCCCCGTTGTCATCCTGCCCTATATGAAACACGGAGACCTGCACAGCTATCTGCTCTACTCGAGGCTCGGAGACTTTCCTGTGGTTAGTCTGAGTTCAAACTATAAAAGCACAGAGTCAGCGACATAAACGCACAAAGTCCCACACAGACCCACACTTTATTGGGTTTATAAGTTCACATGACTGTCTGTAAGCAAAATGGGATCCAAGGGTCAAAATAGACGTATTTGTTACAGTCCCCAACCACACCTTTCTGGTAGCGTGCACACTGGGATCACGAAAACACAATATATGTGCCATTCCTATCTCCAGTTTTACTCATTAAAAGATGAGATGTTCTTTTGGAATCGAAAACTGCTATACGCACTAAGTCCCCGAAGAGCTGGCTTGAGAAACACAAGCCTAATAAAAACAAAATTCTTACAGAATGTTGAAACATCCATGAGTTCGGCAAACATTCAAAAACAAAGTGGGGTTGGAACCTATTGTTCCCACAGGAGGAGGTTGTTAGTATCTGGAACAGGGAGCACTCGGTTCAGGCTGAAACATGGATTCTAGTGCCCTCTACTGAGCAGAAAGGGAATCAGCCATGTGAGACTAACATCTTTTTCTCTTTGTGATGTCCTGCAGTACCTCCCGTCTCAAATGCTGGTGAAGTTCATGACTGATATTGCCCGTGGGATGGAGTACCTCAGCCGCAAGAACTTCATTCACAGGGATCTTGCCGCTCGCAACTGCATGTAAGATAATCTCTGCTTCTGCTTTCTGCTTTCTCAGTTCCTGAATCTGTTATCAGTTGCTCTTTCTCTTTCTTGATGAATAGATTAAAAAGCACTGAATGTAGACAAAGAGACTGCGCTAATAGCAATGTTATGTTACTCTTGCATGGCCTATTAATTAGATAAACATTATATTTTTTTGTATAAAAGTTTACATTTTTAGTCCTGTAGCTTTCAAATGAATGTAGTGGAATAACAAAATGTTTCAACCATTACCTGTCTGCCCTTTCATAAATGCAGCACTGTAACTCTTGTTTCTCTGTCTCAGGCTGAATGAGAACATGAATGTGTGTGTGGCAGACTTTGGCCTCTCCAAAAAGATCTACAACGGAGACTACTACAGGCAGGGCCGCATCTCCAAGATGCCGGTCAAGTGGATCGCTATCGAAAGCCTGGCTGACCGCGTCTACACCACCAAGAGTGACGTGGTTAGTTCATCTACCCTGTGTTTGTGTGTGCTTGTTTGACTGACAATGTGGGGACTACCTACTATCTGGGGACCGGTCCCCACAAGGTTCACTATTTAGTTTATGTGATTTAGGCTTAATCTTACGGCTACAATTTAGCTTCAAGTGACACGTTGTCCTTATAGCTACAAGTGTTTAGATCCTACTGGGCATAGGGATGAATAGCAGAGATGGAGATGATATTGAGAAGTATTTCGAGAGGTTTCTGAGGATGTTTTGTATAACATTGTAAAAAAACAGTATCTATTTGAATAGTTCTCTGCCAAGGAAGAAAGTACTTTTAAATATTGAACAGTAACAATTCATGTCTAAGGGGCTGTAGTACAAAAAAAGATTTCAGGTAACTATTGGTTAAAGTTTATCAACATAGTACAGAGTTACATGCAGCTAATGCAAGACTAAACAATGTCCTCAGAAGTAACAAAAACAGTATTATTTGAAAAAAAAAACTGCCATCTGTTTAATTTAAAAATGTAATTGTACTCTTAAAAACTGATAACTAGCATTACTTCAATAGCTTCCTGAAGACATAGCTCTGATGTTTTGAGCCAAATGTTTCCATGTGAACAGTAACAGCTGATACTGCATGTATTCCTGAGGGGCCTGTTCGCGTTTCCATGCACATGTGAAAGTCTTCATGCTGCGTAAGCGCTAAAATGAATGTGCATTCTTTTGTAAGTAAAAATAGGATTTCCATAAAGCCTAGAAAAACATGCCTGTGTTATTTCTATAACCAGTGTTTGACCAGTGCAGATGTTTGAGAAGTGTGCGTGGCAAGGCGTGTAAACCCTAAAGGAATTTAAACTTCTTAACCCTTTGTTAATCCTTTCTATTTCCCATTTCTGTCTCCCTCAGTGGTCGTTTGGAGTTACCATGTGGGAGATCGCCACGAGAGGCCAGACTCCATACCCTGGGGTGGAGAACAGTGAGATTTATGATTATTTGAGACAGGGAAACCGTCTCAAGCCGCCTCCAGATTGTCTGGACAACATGTGAGTGTGGACTACTTAACCTTCACATTCTTCATAAAGAGCGTACTCAGCTGATGATATAGTATCTTGGAAATCTTTTACCTCCTATTGAGGATTACATTTTTGCCATTAAGAAATCAAGGCTGGAGACAAGAGTTCTGATTTTCAAGGAAGTCAGAAAATGTTTTGAATGTTTCCTACAGATTATTAAACACAGTTTAAGAATTTAAGTGAACCAAGATATAGCATTCCTAATACAAACAGTTGTATTTTTTTTATGATTTCTTATTTCATTTTGAGAAGCAGTCTTTTGCGTTATTTTAAGTAAACACATTACCAAACAGGTTTAATAACTTCATAATGATGTGCTAGGAAATTCCCCCAAAATAAATGCATTACTTGATTCTAATTTCTAATACTAAAAACAGGAAACATTTGAAAGATTTTTCAAGATCTACAGCAAGCAACAAATGCATTCAGGAGTAAAAATTACGATTTTAAGAATAATTATTCAAACTAATATACTGTTTGTGAGGAAAATAAATAATAATTTGTATTTGTATTCAATTAATGAATCCCACTATAATAAGTGCACAAAATGTGCATTTCTAGGAAATTGTTAAGCATCTATAGGCCCTGTTCACTATAATGTTTTTCACAGTCTTCCACAATGTGCTAACATTAATTACATGTCCTCTCCTCCTCTTCAGCTACGCCCTGATGTTCTCCTGCTGGCTGCTGAGCCCCAAGGACCGGCCGTCCTTCGAGGCGCTGCGCTGTCAGCTGGAGAAAGCTCTGGAGGATCTGCCGGACACCCAGGATCCCGAGGAGATCCTGTACGTCAACATGGACGAGTCTTCCATGGAGCTCGGGGCCGTCGGTGGCCGTGACCCCATGGGGGGGCCGTCCCCTCTCTGCCTGAAGGGCCTGGACTCTGTGACCACGGTGGAGGTGCACCACCCCAACCGCTACGTCCTCTGTCCCCAACACGAGACCACCCGGCCCCTCTCTGAGTCCCTGGAGAGCCTGGACATGCCGGTGTCGTCTTCCACCGCCACGCTGCCTCTACAACCGTCCTGCCATTCCACCCCCAACCCAACCCCAGCGCCCACCCCGACTGTGGAGCTGCTGGAGGACAGGGAAGGCTCTAGAAAAATGCCGTGGCAGTGATGGCATCACCCATAAAAGTCTGGCCAAAGTGTGCCATCCTTAAACCCCAGTCCAAGAAGTAGATCCTCTTGCTACTGACTGCAAGAAACCTAAAGTGCCCCTAAGTAGATATTTTTGCACAAACACACACAAAGCATTCCAAGGAAGTGAAGAATTGGGATTATTTCCTTTGTTAACCCTTACGCTTCTGTTATGAGCACATTTCCAAGAGAGTGTGAAAAGTGTAGCCGGAGGAACACTGTTACCAACGGGGTGATCTGGTTTAGAGCACATGTTGTTGAACTCGTACACTGCAGCACAATCAGAGAAACCCAACTCCCCGTCGCTATAGCAATACAACTACCTGTACACAGCAGATCGATCTCCTTCACGTGAAGCTCAAGAATCTGATCGTGAAACCAGCGGCAGATTCACACTGCCAGCCTGAATCTACAACTAAACAAACTCAGGAGCTTGGACGCTAAAAAGCGCTAACGTGGAATCCCTGATAACTCTCAGCAAAAAGAAAACTGAGGACTGAAGAAAAAATTGAGGAAGAAGTGTCTTTACTGAAGGTATCTGATGAAGACAAATGTCTGCCTACATTGATACAGTTTATGAAGGACGATAAGAAAGGTTATTTTGAGCTACATATTTCTCCTACTTTGAGCTGTGTTTTATAATGATGATAAGATTTTCTCTCCCCACAGAAACCCGACTGAAGTTAGAAGACCTTTGCCCTTAATCTACAGAATATGAATGAAATTGAATTTTAAACAACTAATTAATTAAAAGAGACCATCATCTGCAAAGAAAATAACATTTCACTCGGGCTATAAGAGCTGGTTCGAATCAGGAATCTCCATTTCCATCCAAATGTGCGCTAATAATCCCTGACACTTTGCATTTAGCACCTTGAGCCATTTTCAGTTCACACAAGGCACCTCTTTCCTCTCTAACAACCTGTGAAAGTCCTGATTCAACTAGTCGATACATCTTCGTTATAACTCAGGAAGCGGAGACTTTGTAGGTACTGGTCCAATGAATAGGGTACAGATAATCCAGGGCAGATGGATGACTGAGGGTAGGTACGGACAGGATGGAGTTATCCAGGGCAAACGGTGGGATAAGCTCCTCCCCTTTGCTTTTGGCTCAAGCACAGTGTTATTACACATTTTGTAAAAAAAAGAAAAATGTAATGCTGATTTTTGTATTTCTACGACTTTGCACTAATGTTGGTTTTTATATCCTTGTATGTTTGTTTATAGTTTGTATATCTTTTACGCTTTTTTGTATTTTGTGTTGTTATTACTTTTCTCAAGTCATCTTGCGGCATCTCGCATAAAATCTTTGCATATAAAGACAGAGAACGAAGCCTGTGAAAGCATATCAGGGCGATTATTTTCTGTAAATGTGCAAAAGACTGGGAAACATGACTAACCTCGTCGTCTGACATCTGACTCTCTCTTCCTGGGATATTTCCATTTCTCGAGGTTCAGCACTGTAAATAGAAGTGTGGTACCACACAGATACAAAGTGTGTATATCCAAACCTCTGCTTTGAGGTCCACTAGCTGCAACTTTGCATCATGCATGCACTTATTCTTTATATACGTTTATATATATTTGCTTTACTTCATGATTTTGTAATTGGAATGGACCATATTCCTACACACTTTTTCTGAGAATTGGCTGTGTTTCTCAGATGTTTACATCAAAGGTACTCAATTACAACACAGTATATAGTGTAGCATTACTGAAATCATTGTTAAAGCTCCCATGTCATGCTTTTCTGGTTATTACCCGTCCCCCTGTGTGTTATGAAGCTTTTTTTGCATGTAAACGGTCTGCAGTCACAAACCCTCAAAGTACACCCTGTAGAGAGTAAAACTCTAACACAGAGAAGACCTGTCTATGCTGCCCCAAAACGCCTCGTTGGAGATTTCTCTTTTTCCATTGTTTGCTTCCTGGGTTCTGTGACGTGTGAATATCCAAATCAACAACAAATGACCGGATTGGCCCAAATGGACCAATCCGCGGAGCACCTCACACACCAGGATCCCTTGGCTAACTAACAGGGAGTCCCCATTGACTTGCATAGAGCTCCCTGAATGCTGGTAATAGACGAGTTGGGATCGCGGAGAAATGCTCTCCGCAGACCCATTCTCACAGCGTTATAAACCTTTTTCTTACTCAATATCAAGCCACACTTATTGTTTTTACTTCGGCTGCGAGTGTCTGTGTGTGCTCAGGATGAGTTTCGCTTGTTCTCGCTGTATCGCCGACCCGGAAACCTGTCCGCTCCTCGCAGCAGCGAGCCTCGCAACGTCCCGACCAATCAGAGCACACTGGGCTCACAGGGAGGGGGGGGCAGGAGCTCCAACAAGCCGTGTAGGACAGAGAGTGAATACACATACTTTACAGAGATGCTGTATGAGAAACCAATGTGAGTTTGGAAAATTGCACAATGTAAATCTATTCTAGTAGACCTCAACAATGGCATTATGATCAGTAGAAATGAGCATGACATGGGACCTTTAAGACAAATGTAAAGTTCTCCTAAAGCTGCATTCACATGACACATGATTTGCTCTTTGCTCAGCCACTAAAGTTTTGTTTCTATATTTATATACCCTGCTAGTATGCGGCACCACATACAGCTTTCATTGAATTGGTTGCGTGTCAAAAGATTATCATTAAATGTGGAAAAACTTTAAATAATTTGAATTTTTGAGCACCACTCGGCGACAATCGCGCGACGCCGAGGGTAGTGCTACTGCATTTCTCTCCATAGAAACACAACGTCAGCACAGCCGTTTTACTGCTTTTCATGTGAATGCAGCTGAAGACATGTGGTACTGTATTCTCACTGAGGAGTCATACATTGTTTTTGAACAGAAAGTGACACTGGGGCACTCCTATAATTTGGTCTGTATAAATACTTCAATGCTGACTCATACTGCATTACATAAGCATTGTTTTTGAAACATTTTGGTCTTAAACTTTTCTTTGGGGAAAAAAACACTGAAATTCCTTCATGATTACAGTCTGGTCAGCCCTAAGTTTTTACCTTCAGTGCCTTCAGAGAGCCGGTGTTCTGCATTACAGTGAATGTCTGTTTGGATTGTGATTCTCCTGTAACAAATTGGGAGAAGACTGTACTTTAACTGCCTTTATCTTGTCACTATCATGATTTGTAAAGTTTTATATACCTACCTACAGTATTTTGTACAAGAAATAAACATGTTTATCATGAATCAGCCCTGAGCTTTTATGTGTTCAATATTAAAGGGGCCCTCTTATGCTCATTTTCAGGTCCATATTTGTAGTTTGTGCCTCTCCTGTGACATGTTCAAAAGCCCTTTCATTTTTCTCATACTGCCTGTGCTGCAGCACCTCTTTTCACCCTCTGTCTGAAACCAGAGCGCAGTCTGCTCTGATTGGTTAGCTGACACAAACAATGTGTTGGAGCACAAGTGTTACACAGTAAGGCCACTTTCGCAGGGAAGTAAACAAAGGAGTCCAATGCAGGCGTTTCAGGGGGAGTGTGTGGGAGAGAAACTCCCTCTGGAGGGAACACAGGGATTTTAGCCTTTGCAGACCATTTACACGCACTAAAAAAACCCAAAAAGCAGAATAGGGCCCCTTTAATCTTATTTAAAAGTATTTTTTGTTTATTTACTCAACAATACAGCAGATGTTGAGATCACTGTTGAGGTATCTGGTTTATTATCGAAAAGCAAGAAACTGCCAATAAACAACACATGTCTGAAAGATCAGCTAACAGCTGAAAAACACTTGAAATGTTTGAATAATGTTCAGAAAGTATAGTATCTAATAAGGGTGTTTTTCCTCAGAAGTGGATGTAGGAGATCTGCACGTCGCCATCTATCTCCAGCATGTCCACCTCATTGAAGGACTGCAGGCGGTGGACAAAGTCGAACAAGTGCTGCCCATTCACAAACACTTTGAACCTCTGGTTCCCGCAGCGGATCGACATCTGAGACACAGAGGCAGAAAATTAAGCGGATTATAGGCCTGCAACAATTATTTTATATTATCAGGTAATTGTTTTGGCTATAAAATATCAGAAAATAATTTAAAACGTCCAATGTGGTTAATCAAAGTCCACTTTTAAATGTCTTGTTTTGTCAGCCCAAAACCCCAAATGATTCAATTTAATGTGATACAACATTGAACAGAAAAGACTAGAGGAAAGAAGTCCTATTTGAGAGGCTGTAAACAGCATTTTCTTCAATATCAAATCAAATCATATATATCAAATATCACAAAACTTAAAAAATGGTTTTCTTTCCATGGACTAAACGATTAGTCAAAGTACCCAGTAGTTTGACTCAAACTGCAGGGTACTGGATAGCAGCTATCCAATATGAAATACATATTTAGAACTAAATATGAGGTCAGTGTGACAGATTCTACTTACATCAAAGTACTGTCCCTCCATGAAGGGGTTCATGTTCATCTCTCTGTCCTCCTGGCCCCAGGTCCCTCCGATCATGCTGTTCCTCACCACGACCCCCTCCCTCACCCGGGGGTTCATGTGGAAGGCGATGTCCCGAGATCTGCTCACCACGAAGTTGATGTACAATCTGCAACACACAGAAACCAGTGTGATCGATGTCTGTTTGCACTCACACTCTAATGACGTTAGTGTGTATAATCACTAATAACACACCTGTCGGCTCCATAGGGCAACATCCCTCTGATGATGATGGTCCTCTTAGGGTACATGCCTCCTGGGATCATGTTAGAGTACGGTATGGGCTAAAAACACAAAGCAAAAACTCAATTAGACAGGTAATATCCAAACAAGAGTGAAATTCCACAGCAACACTGGTAGCCCCGTGAGGCCGGATTCTTATAGGAGACAGTTCTACTGGGTAAAGTGTTGATCTGTGCACTGATCATTTTAGGACACTTAACTTGCCAGGCTAAGTTTTACAATGTTATACTAAGCTCAGCCTTCAAATGCATTTAAATGGAACAAATAACTTCACAGCTTTGAGCAGAATGCCACAGGTGACATCTGAAGTTACGACAGGGAAATGAAAAATGAATTTGCTTAACTTGAATGAGTTCATTGTTTTGCCATGCTAGGTCAAATAGCAGAGCTTCAGGTAATTCACTGTATTGTCAGTGTTGGTGTGCAATGAGGTCTGATTGACTTGACACATGTAGAATAGAATTGGGAGGGATAAAGCCCTCTTTAATGGTTGGTCACACATGCAGAGCACACAGCACACACAGTGAAAAAAGCGCCCGGGGAATGTAATGCATTCTGTTCTGTTGCCACAAGAGGGCAATTATTGCATGTTTTAAAATAGAAGTTGAAAATAGTTGTTTGAAAGACCATTGTTTAAAGGCAGCCCAATGACACTCTTTAGGCTGCCATTGCTGGTAATAGAAATGATCATCATCCCAACAAAGCAGAATGGTATTTAGAACCGCCCCAGCAGCTCCCCATCCTCTGTGGTGCAGAGCAACTGAGCTGACGCCACAGGTGTCAACACCTACAGTAGTAGCTGGATGGCAAAACAGGCAGCAAATACACCAAATACTATTAAAAAGGTTAGTGAACAAGCAAACACAAGATTAGCCCCCTACCATCATCATCTTGTGTTGATTAGGGTGTACAAACAGAAGGGAGACGAGTAGCAGACTGTCGCTGCACGCATTTCCTCCAAAACACAAAATCCCTATCCTTTGCATTACCGAGCCCGTTTATAACCTGTAGGCTACCACGTTATTTTCACTTCACTTGTTCTGTAAAACTGACCTTTTCATAACCGTTGGATAACATATTCTCTACTGTTGTTATCAATTTATATATACGTATATGTATGGTGTATGTATGTATATTTAGTCCTTTTGGTTCCCATTGGCCTGGCGGGTGTAAAGCTGCAGGGTAAATGACCCTGCACCTCCACCAGAAGTGTTTATATGCTCTCATATTGAAATATTTATTTTTAAATACCATGTTGCGGCTTCACTTTATGACCACTGGATGGTCTAATTACTTGGTTCTTAATATAACATACTCTATAATCAATCTTAAGTTAAGAGTGACTTATAACAGGGATGTCTAACACAATCTGACACTGTCTGTACTTCAAATGAGTGTTGACCAAATTGTACTTACAGGGTTGTAGACTGGCTGCCCGCCCATGCCCTATAATCAGAGTAACAGATATCATATTTAAATTGGATTAGCAGAAGGAATCAAATATACATAGGTCTTTATTATTTCATGTAGTGTTCTCACCGGCAGGTTTGATCCTGGGAATCCACCCTGACAGGAAAAAAAAAAGTAAATCAACTGAATAAGATATGTTGTTCACACAAACTACTTTTCTATATACACATGCTATAAACACATGATGTAAGTACAAATAAATCCGTTATAATAATATTTTTGACATACCCCCATACCACCTCCCATGTCTCCTGGATAACCTCCCTGTAAAGAAGCACTTGGTATTGTTCAGTGATTTGTTGTGAATTATTGAGACTTTTTAAAGTTTAAAGTACTTATTTTATTATTATTATTTTTAACATTAATGTATTCACCCCCATGTTGAAAAGAGGTAATGTGTCAAATTCTGTTTAGTGATGTATTTAATTTAGTTTGACAAAATCTTCAGCCTAAATGTACTTACTTCCATGCCTCCTCCCATGCCTCCTCCCATGCCTCCTCCCATGCCTCCTCCTATGCCTCCTCCCATGCCTCCTCCCATATCACCTGGGTATCCTCCCTGTGTATCAGTTAGAACGAGCAAGGATAAGTGAAAATGATGCCCGCTGGTTCTCATATATTTACAGTATTTTTGAAAGGAAACTGCACTTAAAGACAGAACATACCCCCATGCCACCTCCTGGGTACCCTCCCTGTTAAAAAGGGGTGACCATGTTACATCCAGTCCAGTGCTGATTTGAATTGCATTTTCATCTTTATAGTATACTCACTCCCATGCCTCCTCCCATGCCTCCTCCCATGCCACCTTGGTATCCTCCCTAGAAGACCAAACAGAAGTGTAAAACTAAACAAACATCACAAAACCAATAAAGACAAACTTTGTAAAGTACACATAAAAAAAGTTAACGAACACTATTTGTTTACCACACAATCATATGTAATACTATGCACAAATACACTTGCTAACAACTCTTCTGCAAGTTCTAATACTGGCACTATTTTTGGCAGCAGTTTGCATTGAAACTTGGAAAAATGTAACAGTAGGGTTTATATATTTAACAGTTGTAATAACAACAAATAACATTTGCCGCAACTTAATATTACACATTTGTCATTGAACATTAAAGTTTAAATTCACATTTTTATATTCAAACCTAGCAAGTTGAAGCAAGCACAAACATTTATTAAACCCAGTATTAGCTTTTTTGTTTTGTTTTTGCTCCTGCCCCCAGGAACCCCCCCCCCCTTGACACAGAAAGCAGTACAAATCAGCTGTTTATGATTTATTTCTTGCTGAATCTCTAAGCCCCAGCAAAGCCCAAAGCATTATTCTGAAACAACGGGGACGTCTCACCCCGATGACGTTTATGGTCTGGATGCGAACATCTCCTGCGATCTGCATGGCACGAACCCTCTCCACGGGGAGGCGGTGCTCGAAGGTGTAGAAGTCATTCCCGTCGACTTTGATCTGCAACAGGATCATCAAATGTGCAGCACAGTTTGCCATGGCATTTGTGTGGTCCAAAAAGTAAGAGTAAGAAATGCAGAGTGAATATGTTTAAATGTTACTTCTCAAAGCTAAAAACCACAAACAATCCTGCCGTAGAACAAAAGCTAAAACAAGTTCAACTTGTCTTTATCAAAAGATGGCAGCTCACTATAAATCCTTAAGTAAAAAGCATTAAGTAAATGTTTTATAAAAAACTACAATTGAGTTATTATTGGTCAACAACAATATCTCCTGTGGATGCCAATAAGTGAAAGTCTGTATCCTTAATGACGAATGACAATGATAATACTTGAAAAAGAATAACAAATATGTCTTTATTGGAGAAATTAAGTGAGAGTGTTAACAAATATGTTAACACTGAAAAAGCACTTATATGTTCTTACATCTACTTAATTGTTCCTTGGGGTCAAATATTGACATTTTGTCACAACTATCAACCTCTGATACCTATGCGCAAAGCACTCTTTAGAATCTCTATCAGACACACCAGGCATTCAAGACCTAACCCAACCCCAGTTTTATAAAACACTTGGGGCAAGTGGTTTGGAATATGGTGATGTAGCCCTAAAGCTGAATTCACGTGATAAGCGTTGAAACGGCACTGCGCTGATGTTGCTGTTGTGTTTCTATGGAAACAGTGGACCATCATAATTGTTGTAGAGCGCTGCAAATTCCAATTATTTCAACTTTGACGTAGTTACCGTTGACCTTTCAACGTCTCACCAATAAGATGATAGCACTATGGAGCGGCGCAAGATAGCAGGGGAGGTAACCATAGAAACAATACTTAACTACCTGTTAGATTGTGTTACTTATTTTAAACCCAACCCATATTCAATTCCTTTCAAAGGTTTAATGTCATATGCACATAAACTACAGTGTAGAAATAGCAATGAAATTCCTAGATCTAAACAGCGTTTCTGTTGGAAATGACGATGGGGACCACGTGTTTACTGCAACCGTAGTGGAGGGTCATCCATTTTGTGGATGCATTAGATATATCATGGGGTCCTGATGGGCGACCAATCAGAGTGTCAGTGGTTCAATCCCCAGCCCCTTCATTATGGTGAAGTGTCCTTGGACAAGAAACTTAACCCCATATTGCGCCAGTAGGCATGTCTACGGTATTGAGGTGTATGCAAGCCACTTAAATAGAAAATGTAAAAGCTAAATGACAGGTAATGAATGTGTATTGCTTAGAACCATTCATTAAAGGTTTAATAAAAAACGTCTTAATGTGAAACAGGGGGTTCATATAAAGTGTTACAGAGAGAACATTGTGTTAGAGCTCCTGGTTGTTCTGACCTCGTAGCCTTGTGAAGTTGCCAGGATGACCATTTCGAAGGCTTTGCCTTTACAGAAGGGCATATCATGAGTCTTGTGCTCACTGCCCCAGGATCCCCCTTCACACGAGTTGAAGACCACCTTGTCCCTTCCGTCAAATCGAGGGTTGAAGTGAAGTGCGAGGTCGCTGGACTCAGACTCTCCACAGAGCAGGTTGATATGGAACCTGCCAAAGGAACAGCAGAGGCATTCTGTCACGGAGTCCTCTAGTGACTGATATGTTAGATTAGCGTTAGGAAACAGAAATGCAAACAGTGCAGGCGGGGCCGACTGGAAATAAATCTCTCCCAACAAAAGAGCCACAGATGTTACGATACAGTCAGGTATGTGCAGTGTTTACTTTGCCTGTAGAGTGACCTCTGATATTACCATTTTGAAAAGGGAGGTCATAAAAGTGGAGTCTGCTTTGATAGTAAGCAATGCAAAGAAACCTGCTCCACCCAGATTACACACGGTGTTCCAACAGTAAACAAGGGTTTTGGTTGAAGACAAAAGAAATGTCCCAGTGCAATAAATTTATACAAGTGGACCTTGAGTTGACATTTTTTCAAGATTAAGAATTATTTTCGAGATAGTTTAGAGATGTAAACTCACCTGGTAATGTCCTCAGGAATGGACCCCTGGATGTAGATGGACACACCCTCCCTCAGGCCCCCATGAATGGGCCCCACATAGGGAATATTCTGTACAGTGCATACGAATATTAATCCACACTGTGCAATGCTGCCAGGCTCGCAAAATAAATCACATACATTAAATATGCAGTAAATAAGTATTTTACAAATGTAAGTTCTGGAGGATATTATATATATATATATTTTTTACTCTTTTAGTTCTTTTTTGAGATTATTTTCTTTTCTAACCCTAACCTAACCATATTTTATAATAGTTTATTTTCAACTCTTTTTATTTCAAATGTTGGCAATACTTTGTTTTACATGCTGCTGCAACTAAAACATTTCCCAAATGGGGATCAATAAAGTATATTTTAACTTATCTTATCTTATATTATTTGGAGTGTCCATAAAAATGTGTAGTTTGACTTCACTGTTTACGATCTTTGGATGCAGTGTCGGGAAAGAAAGTACGGTACATTTACTATACTATACTTTTTATGGTTTTACCTTCCCTATTGTAAAGACTATATGTGTTTTATTAACATCATACTATAATAATTTCACAAAATAAATGTTGTGCACATGTTGCTTTTTTAACAAATCCAATGAATCAATTAATGGTCATTTAAAGAGAGCATCCATTGATGACTGACCAGAATGGTAGTCAATCATGCGTATTTAAATCAACAGCTTGATAGTTCCAACATATTTGATCTCTAGTATGTGAACACGAACAATTCACTATGATATAATGTGTTAGAAATTCAATGAACATTGTCTGGAAAACAAGGGAACATAAAGACGCGTTCAAAATATTTCCAGCAAGATTTTTACCGGCAGTGAAAACCCAAGGGAAAAATGGGCACAGGTCATATGCATGGCACTGACTGGAGACCACCATCACTACCGCGGGTTAAAGGGCACACTTCCTCCATGACACTCATTTTCTTTAGGTGTGGTGAAAACTGAGAATTTTTTTTTTCTGAAGCATGCACTAGATAGTTTCTTGAAATTGCAGAGTAGTGCAAGAGTGTACGAACAGATAGTGCTTTCAATTTGATAGCCTAACAAGAATGCTATACGGGCATATTCCCTGTGTAACACACATTATACAGAGGGCAATCACAGTGTCTCCCCTGCCATGCGTCACTCAGCAGCAGATACTCACAGGGCCGTAGATCGGCTGGTAGCCAGGAGGAGCAACGAAGGACATGGCAGCAGTCAGTGGGACGGACAGACTCAGGAGGGGGTCAGTCAGGAACTGATCTATGTGGGAGTCCTCATTTTATACAAGTGATGAGGGAGGGGCAGAGTAGGGTACCAAACCCAGACCTGCATCACCGTGTTTACTTTAGAGGCACAGGATGCAAAGTGTCCGTTGACCGAGAAGAGGAGTGGCACGGTTGCTTTTGAAGCAACAAGTAACCCTTGAATGGCAGGAGAGGAAGTACTCGGATACTTTACGTAAGAAAAAGCAATAAAATGCATGAAAAAGTGATGCATTGCGAATGTAAGTGAAGTAAAAGTACACAAGTATTATCAGCTAGCTAGCTTCCCCAAATTAGCAAACATTGCAATCATTTCCCCTCAGAGTGTAACACTATTATATATTAAGTTTCCGTGTTATTACTACTGATATATAACTACATAACTAACAATTTCATATTTTGTATATATGGCAGTTCATAAAAACGTATATTTGAAAAGCTCTTTACATGTTTTGTCTGCAAAATCTCAATCTGTTAATGAACTGGTACCTAAAGCTGCAAATAAGAATAATGGAGTTAACGTATCCCTCTGGCAATTAGCAAAGTAGAAGTATAAATAAGCATGGATTCCTAAATCTCACAGTGAGGAAAAACTGCCATTATTCCTTTATTTGATCAGAGGATTTGTTTGTGGTGGAAAAGACTATACATCTTGAATTTGAAGTGGAGGGCTGTGAATGATGTCAGTACACTAAGTCAGAAACCAGATATCATTTTCTTTCTGAAGGGAATTGTAGGAGGGTCTACTGTATGTATGATTCATCAAATATCCCCCCGCCTGCCTAACTTAAGGCAAACAGAAACTCTTATCTAGAACTCATGTCTGTTGCACACCTTTATATACATCATTCCTGGAGGCAGTATGCTATTACAACACATTCTTTACGAAGTCAGCATACAAGCTGTCCATATGCACTCACACATAATCTGTCAGGAAACAAAAGCCTGTCTCACTGACACATGGGTGTTTTCAAAAGGTTAGATATCTAGAAGAATTATTCCTTAACATTTCCTTTCATGTTTACAGCGCAACAATCCACTTTTGGTATTTGATTAAGATAACGTGCTATCAGGAAAGTGCAACACAGATTTGTCAGGGGATTGGTTAAGTATGTAAGGCTGTCCATTATTAGTGGATTATATCTCATTATAATGTAAAAAACTTAATTTGACTTTAAAAATATATGTATTCATGGTTTCTGCATTGTGACTATAAAGTTATATTGCTTTAATCTAATGAATATATTCTATTGCACATATGAAAATGTTTAGGGACAGGTCAGTCTGAAAAACCACAATGTAACAAAGTAATTAACTGTATGTAAATGTATATTATATAAACTAATGTTTACCCAAGAGGTATGATTATGTTATATCTCACAGGTGCTTTATTCTATCATTCCATTTTTTATGACTTTTTCAAGCAGTGAATTTATTTTGATATTTTCTGTTTTAATTTCTGCTTTTAATAAATACCAAAAAGCATACCATTATATTGGTAAAGTCAAAAGCACCCAATTCTGCCCAATGCGGTTTAAAAACATGTATTTATTGAGACCATATATGCCATGGGTAATTATCGCACACTATTAGGGGCGTAGGTGCTCTGACTCGGTCAGTCAAGATAATCGAACAAGTCTATTTCCTCGTGTTATGTGTCTATTATTATTTTGGACTATATGCAAATTTAACGTAACTTTCCTAAAATAAAAATGTATTTAGTATTCAGTTGACATGTTATAACTACAAATGTGCTCAGAAGTAACACGATTTTGATCTGATAGTAGTCCTTGAATGTTAAATACTGACAGACACACACATTTTCATTATCTTAGAGGACATTACATTGATTTATATTTCATTGTATTTAATATTGCCTTCCCCTTACTCTAAACACAACCTATTACTTGCGTAATCCTAATCTTAACATAACCTAAATCTTTGCCCTAAAATATAATAAATAACGGTATTGTCGTAAAAAATAAGGTTCCCCATAATGTCAGTCAGATATACACATAAACACACAATACAATATTAAAAAGCTTACATAATATAAAGGACACAAAGTTCTCCTTAAAATAATCTGTTTATTCTGTATTGAAACACAGTTCAGTCAGTAAGATCTCCCTCCAGCTCTGTATTGTCAGCGGCCCCCTAGTGGACCACAGAGAACATTACACACTTCAGAGTCATCTGCAAACAGACCACTGCTCTGCCTCTGTCAAAGTGAGTCATGACAATACATAAGAGTTTGTGTGTGATCTTTAAGAGGCATAGTAAGATAGAACTGTCTGAGATCAACACATCGGATGAGACTTTGAGAAAAATAACTCATATGCTAGATTCCTAAAAATACCTATCATAAAAACCTAACTAGCAAAACAAATCTCTTCTGACTGCAAACTAGGCATTTTCTTCAGTGTGAGACAGAGTCCCTTCATCTTTGTGGTTTTCACAAACAATACACACTAAATGTGGAACTCTGACAAGGAAGCATCTTTCAAATTCTTTAAAGCCCTAAATAAAATAAATACATGAATCTATGATTTATGTAGAATATGTCTTTCCATCATAAGGCCTCTATGCAGCCTTGGCATGTATCAGTTGTATACATTAATCAGTTGTATACATTAAATACATTCATTAGTTATTTCAATGCACTGAAAAATATTTGTCCATAAAGTGTTCTGTTGGCCAGAAATACAGACGGGCTAAAACGGTCGTCTTCAGAAGATTTGATCTGCGTATAAACAATAAATAAATAACCTTGGCATCCTCATATACTTGATGTGTACATCATCACTATCTTGTATGGCACAGACACACCAGGAGAGATAGTGGAGTACATCCAGGGACACATTGTAAGACTTCAGAGTGCACACTGGCTTTGTCAGCTGATTTACACAGGTATATGTCACGTATGCAGATGACACTCAAGTTTATTATCTTGGCAAGTCAGTCCAACGAGAGTTCCCATTCATGGTTGCTCGTTTGAAGGCAAGTTTCTAAGTCTCAAGAGAGGAAGGATGAAGATACGAGAGAGGGCTTACCACTTTCACTGCTCCCTCCAGGATGTTGGAGATACGACTGTAAGCTGCTGAATCATTTACCTTCAAATCACTTTCTCTCACTGAAACACCAGAAATTAAATATCAAATGGCAGCAGCTACATACAAACATATCCACTCTAATCTAAACTAAATGTGTTAAAGTAAACTGATTGCTAAATCAGTGACATTGCTATAGGCACTAAAACGTTTACAGCAGCAGCGACTGAAAGAGCCCATTTTGTATAAATGCATTGTTATGCAAGGCCGTCTACAGTATGGATATTTGACACCAAAAAGGCCATGTCGTGTGTTCATTGTGAAATAAAAAAGTCTTTTTTTATGCCTCCTATATTTCTTCAGCTTTTCTCAAATCTATCCCATGGACATTCTGCTGCAGGTGGTACACAGTGCAGTGAAAGTGTGCATAGCTTCAACGGAGGAGAGAAATGTGCAGGAAAAGGACAAAACTAAGATATTAGACGTGTTCAATCTGTACATTTCTTCTCTCCCTTAATGTCCCCTCCTTTCCTCTCGTTCTCCTCCAGACGTTAGCCATGCAGGACATTATCCCAGCTGATCCTCATACTGCTTCCTGAAGCAGTCCCCAGCAGGGAAGAAGTCCCAGCAGCGCTCCTGGTACAGCTTCCACACGTACGACTCCTGAAACACAATATTGCAAAAATAACATTTGAACAAGACAAAAACAACCAATAAGGTCTGCAGTCTTATTCTATGCACCTTCTTTACATTGGTATATATATCTTTAAAGAAATATGTATACTGACCTGTCCTGTGTGTTCTGTTTCATCTTTGTTAATGAGATACATCAGGAAGAACCTGAAAAAGAAAAGGGAAATAATGCAAAAAATGCTAATTAGATTGCTTTTGAAGAAAATATATTTGCGTGTTCTTAGAAGCCAAAAAGGGCAAATTGTCTAAATACTTTTTTTAAATGCATATTAACAAACTTCTTTTTCCTTAGGCCAAGTTTGAAAGATACAAATTGGGCGGCCTAAAATAAAATGATATATGTTATGAGGGCCTGCATTTGTCCCCAAAAGCAAGGTCCCCACAATGTTAGTCACACAAACACACGCATACAGAAGCTTACATGCTGCTTATTCTATATCATATATTTAACAAAGCTATGTTTTAATAGTGAACATTTAGGTCACCTTCATGTTCCATACTCTTTGAATGCCTATTATTAAAACAAATATATCAAACTAACGGTTTCAACTAGCCTATCACCAACTTTAGGAGTAAGGGTATATTTTCAAAACAAAACAATGACTATATTTATAATTACGACATCTTCTTCTGCCCTCTGAAAGGTTACTTACATGTAGTTGGCTAAGTTATGCTCTTCTAAGGTGTGTGTCTCAAAGCCGTGAGGCGTCGTATCAAAGTAGTCGCTTCCAATTCCACAGATGAAACACTTTGTCTGGAGGCAGAGAGGACAGTGCAGATTAAACATGTTCTTGCCTTATTACTGATGGAGAGTTGAAGGTTAAAGAGATTAGTTCAATCCCTTGGAAAGTAATAATCTTACCTCCATGTCCTCTCTGACCTGCTCCTGCTGGTCTCTCAGCTCTCCGAAGGCATCAATGATCAAACCTGAAAGACACACAGCATTTCTTATTCATCTGAAGATCTGAATGTTTTCTTTTTGAGGTTACCCTTTTTGAAGAAAGGTTGGTGCCATCTCAAAAACCCTATTTTCTGATCTCTAAACAAATGTTCCCTGCTAGCTTCACATAATAAAGCACAGGACAATCTTGTCTGTTCAAATGCTGAGTGCGTCAACTGACCCACATGCACAACCTTTTGTGTATGGATTTGAAACTAGAATGGACAGTAGGGTTTCAATAGCTCTTTCGTAGCGTTTGGAAAAG